TTTACATTTTTGGGCCCTGTGGAACATTCCAGAGGACTGGCGGCAATTTCCAATACCATGCACTGATAAGAAAACGGGAGAACTTGTAGCAGCCTTAGTTATGAATATTATAAGACAGCCAACGCAAGTTACACTTCAGACATAAATTATAGTTAAGTCCCATAAAACTTTGTAATTGAAGAGTAAATGTTAGGGCTCACGAAAAACGTATTAAAATGTGCAGTTGTAATTTTGAAAACTCCGAGAATGAAGCCAATTCATTGCGGAAAGTGAAAAGAATTTGATTTTTTTTCAATAGCTCGGAGGAAACTTTGATTTTAAAATTTGAACAAGACTGCTCGTGTCAGGGCAAAGCCCTGAATGTTCCGACTGCCTTTTAAGGTTTATTGAGCAGCAGCAATACATTAAAAAAATTAAATGAAATAAAATAAAATGAATATTTTTTTTTCTAAAATTTGAATTTTTTTATGAAAATCATCCCCCCACACGCCATACAAAGTACAAAAAGATAGATTTCGTTCCTTGTAACAAATCAATTATGGCAAATAAGCTTCGTTTAACCAATTTGGAACAATTTATAAGACGGATTAAATCTCCGCTTACGCGTTAACAGCGCGAATTATATTGCGCGTTAATTGTCCCAAATTGGTCAAAATGGCCAAAATGGAAATCTTTAAACCCTCATAACTTTACGAAAAACAATGACAGGTGAAATAGCTTTTCAAATATAAGTTTAGGACAACAATACCTTTTGAATAATATAAGAAAATTCTGACAAAAATGGCTCGTTAAAAAGTCGAAATTTGTCTGAAGAAAAATAAAACCCACCCCGAGCACAAATATTCCGTTACTTTCGTATCGAAAGTCGGAACAAAAATAGATTTTTTTTAAGTTAAGTTTATTGTAATTGAAAAGTAAATGTTAGGGCTCAAGAAAAGCGTATTGAAATGTGCAGTTGTAATTTTGAAAACTCCGAGAATGAAGCCAATTCATTGCGGAAAGTGAAAAGAATTTGATTTTTTTTCAATGGCTCGGACAAAATTTTGATTTTAAAATTTGAAAAATAGATCTTTTTAAGTTAAGTTTGTTATTATTATTTAAGGTGTAATCAGCAGTCAGCATTCTGCTTAAATTACTTGTTAAAACGGATATTGAAAATGAATAGACGTAAAAAAACTTCATGGTATTGAACCCAAAAAATACAAGTTCTTAAAGCAAAATCTCTATTTTTTCAATTATTTTTACAAATAAGCCAAAAAATTGAAAAGGGACGACGGGATATAAATTTATAGATATATTAATAGCGTAATTAAAGAGGTATGATAATATTAAAAATCAAAGCCCCCGTCTGCATTTTTTTCACAGGTTTTCAAAATTTTGAACACAGGGACTTGAAGTTTAAATTTTCAATTTCAACTTCATATTTTCACATTAAGCAAATTGGTTTTGGACCAATTACGAGGTTTTTCCTTTCTTTTCATGGTCTGTCAAATCTTAGATGTATGCAAAATTTTTCAAAATTATTGCACGCACAAACAAACTAAGTTTTTATTCATAATAAAAAAATTATTAGGTTGTTTTTTTTTATTAGAGATTTAGGTTTGAAAGGATTTTACTCTTAAATTTCAGACTTCGCTCAAATTTTTGGTCAAGTGACTTGCCAAATGGAATACGATTCTTTTAATATTTAAGCCGTAATCAGAAACCCAAAAACTTTGTTCAGTGTCGAGAAACTACAATGGAAACGCTTAAATTTTTCTAACGAATGAAACTAAAACAAGTATAACCGGTTACTGTGCAAGTAGCACAGAATGTTCCGATCACACTTATACAAAAATACAAAAACTTTATTTTTTTCAAATTAGTGTCGTTTTTTTCAAAAGATCGGAACGAAAGAAAACTTAGGCATATTTGACATTCATAGTAAAAAGGCCATTGGGAAAACATTTTTTTAAGAAAACTGACAAGAAAATCGAATTTGTAAAAAAATTTTAGAAAGAATTTGAAAAGTTTTTTCATACTTTTTTGCATAAACTTCTGGAATTTTTATCCTTGTTAACAAAATGCACTAAACAACTCCGAAAACTTACACAACTCCGATTTTATTTGAGTACAACTAATTTTACGGCTTAAAATAAGCTTAAAAAGGCTATTGTGTAAACCTACACGCTCACACTATATTAGTTCGTAATTAGATTAAAAATAAAAATTTCAAACCGGTTTTTCTCGACACTGTGAAAAAAAAATTAATGTTGTTCGAATCACGATTGAAAGGGCGTTGATATGATATATCACTGGACTCACTCCAATGTTTCTTTGTGGTACTTAACTTTGAGTGGAAAAAAACTAAAACACACCCAAATACAAAATTCTACCCTATTTTTTTAATAGGTCGGAACAACAATTTGCATCGTTCTTTAAAATTTGAAAATCAAATCCTGAATCTTTTAGCGCAGTAAATTGGCAGGTGGATTGTTGCAGGAGCAAATAGAGACTTTTCTTGGTTTTTTTGGTCAATCTTATAATTTAAACGAAAGTCGGAATGCGCTATGGACGCAATGTTGAACTGAAGTCATCGTTGTAGCTTTGCCGAATGCAACATTCAAACATTTCATCAAACTTAACTTTTAGGAGAAGGCCAAGAATGTTTTAGAACGATCAAATTTTCTTATGTCTGGAAAATTCAAAAACTATTTACGTTAAAACTCAAATTTTCAGACCAGATGAACTCAGTTCAATTTAAAGGCTAGACAATACTTGTTCATTTGTTTCAGAAATTTTGCTTTTCCAGATTGATTTCCTTCTGTAACAAACCAACTCAAAAGGCGATCTCTTTCCTTGAAGATTTGCGCTATAGAATATCTGTGGTTTTTACAAAGTTTCATTGCTTGTAGACCTTGCTTAGAAAATCATTTATTTTTCGCCGATAGATTTGCTGTATGAAAACTTGAAAACATTCAAAGCTTTATCGCATGAATAGCGTGCTCAGAAAAAAAAGGAAAATCTATTTTGAAAACCGAAACGTTGTGCAAAAGTTTTAAGTTTTTTTTCTGCAAAATTATTCTGCAAACTCTTTCTATGCAATTTTTTCGCAAACCGATTTGCCCTTTGAAATAACTTGAAATATTTCAGTTTTTTTTTTGCATAAGAGTTTTTTTTGCTACTTGATTTGGTCACTTGGTCTATGAATAACTTCAATCATTTCAAAGTTTCCAGGCTTCAAAAATGAAAAACTTAAATAGAAAAATTTAAATGTTTCGCAAAAAGATTCGGTCTTACAAAATACTTGGTTTGTTTGAAATTTCATTGGTTGATTTGCTTCAATAGAAAAAAATAGGGTTTCCGCCCTCTAATTTGCTTCATTAACACGCTTGGAAACTTTCAAAGTTTCACAGCTTGAATAGCTTGCTTAAAAAATTTCATTGCTGGAGTATTTTCTTGAATAAACCTAAGATTTCCGCCAACGGATTCGCTTCATAAAATTGTTTGAAATATTTCAAATCTTCATAGCAGGAATTGCTTGCTTATAACAACTGAAAATTTTTGCCATCCGATTTGCATCATAAGTTTAATGGAATATTTTTAAAGTTTCATAACTTATAGCTTGCCTAGAGGCTGTTAACTATTTTTCCAATAAGATAACTTGAAATATTTCGATGTATCATGGCTTGAAGGGCTGCAGTCGGAAAGCCTCGTATTTTCGCAAAACGTAAAGTTTTGTATACAGTGGTGACTACTTGACAATTTCTATTAGGCTCCAAACAATTTTGTAGCCATGCAAAGCTTCAGTACAGCATTGTCTAATTTAAAAGATAAATAAATCAAACTTGATTGAAAAGAAAAAAGTCAAAAATTTGAAGTTTCATTGCTTAAATGGCTTCAAGAGGAAATAGAAAGTTTTTTGTCATCTGATTTGCTACTTGAATTACTTTAGAATAACTCATAGTTTCATAGAAAATCCTCAAATGATTCGAGAAAAAACTTGAAATGTTTTAATTTTTCATGGCTTCAATAGCTTGATCTGAACAACAACTAACTTCTTAGGAGCTGATTAATCATCTGACTGGCTTGCTTGTCTTATTGATTTTCCTGGTCTTTCTTGGACGAAAATACAAAGTTTACTCAATTTATGAGCTACATACATACGAACTTATAGAAAAACTTTAAAAAAAATAAGAAAAAGAACTTTCCAAAAGAAAATAAGTGAGTGAGTTAGATTTCTTTTCAAGAAGATTGTCCAACTAGACTATAAGATTTTGTTAAAGATAATGCAATGCCCAGCAATTAATTTAGACAGTTTTGTTCATAAACTCGGAGTCTTATATCTACATGATACTGATTTCTGTTCAAAAGTTTTTTGCTAGAAACTGGTTGAATTTTTTTGACGACTAACTAGTTAGTTTCATTTTGAGAAACCATGATCAAAAATCCTTTGTCTTTATGATTTAGATCTACATCAACAAAAACGGTTTACGCAAATTTTTAGGTTGCAATTGGATGAAAACAAAAAATATGGATCCTGATTCTCCAAATTGCTCTCAAATTGCACCTGCAAATCATGGCACCATTCGAATCGGCTCAACTAGAATTGTGCATTGAGAATAAATATCTTCTGTAATGTGCCTGATTCGTTTACGAATTTCTTCTTCTTATTACTATTTCGCATTTTCAGACGCTCTTAGCATAATGGAAGGCGTTCGATTTCAGGTCTTTATATCTTGTATTTGAACCCCCACTGTTTAGGCAATGATTGAATGTGAATCATTGAAACGCAATTTCGACTGCAATACTGATAACATTGAAAAAATGATACGCAAAAAAGTGCGTCGCTCAGCAAAAAATTGCAGTTTCAACTAAAGGAAATTAATACAGATTGGTTTTTGTTAGAGAGGCAGAACAGTTTTCGATAGATCTTCTGTCATTTGCATAATTTTTTTTTCAAATTCTGAGCTTTCACGGAATATTATGAAGAAGTCTCACTGCAAAAAAAAGTCTCAACAATTTTTAGAATGTTTCAACCAAGAATCGTTATTTTAAGAGCGTAATTCCTGAAATTTAGTGTGTATAGCCGTCAAAAGCGCTTTTAATGCGTTTTCAGAGTGAACCGACTCCAGAGTGACATCCCCCTTAAAATAGTTCCAACTGATATTTTTGGGTGGTTCGCCAGAAGATCAAATTTCTGAGGCACGAGGACGCTCTTTTCTCACCTCCTCTTGAATCTAGTACTTTCCCCGTGAAATTTTATTGTCACTTTTTCGCCTCTATTTTTTCAGAAACTTTCTTCAGATATAATTTCTCAGCCGATAGATGAAAGAAGGGACGTCTGGCCGCAACAATCGGCAACAGTTGACGACGTCGGGAGAAAAATCGGATTTGAAATATACAGATCGATTTGATTATCAAACTCGATTCTCCTATCATTTCGAAAACAAGTTTTTCGAAAGTTTAAACTTAAGATTTTTAATTAAGCAATCATTCCTTTAGCAATCATAGAGAAGCTATTAACTCGTAGGTAGAGTCAGAAGGACGTTTAGAGGACATACTCCTTTAAGAAGGCAACTATTTGAAATCTATTATTGATTGTTATCTTCATGCTATGTATCTATAAACTTTCGTGTTTGCTTCATATAATCTCGCAATCTAATAGCTTTAGTCATGTCAACGTCAGCGTGCAAAAAGACACGATCACTTTGCTTCTTAAATTGTTCTCCTATTTTTCATTTTTTTTCGTTTGCTTCTCTATTTCATTGGCACCAGGAGTGACATCCCAAATGGTGCCTCCGGCTCTCATCCGCCACATCAAAAATGATCAAACTGGATCTTCCTCTTTCATTCCGATTGGAAAAAAAAACTGAGCTGAAATCAATCTAGGAGTCATGAGTCTTTTTCTCTTCAATTTCTGAGCAGCAAAAAACTTTCCATAGCACATGGTACCATATTCGATTCCTGTTGCGATGCCAGGAAGTTTAAATGGCCATATTAGTTTCTGACTGCAACTCAATTTACAAGCCTGCTTTATGACTTTAGCTCTGCTTTATGCCAAGCAGAGTCCTGACATTTTCAGTTACTTGTCCGTTAATTTTAACTAAATTTGATTCTCTAACTTTTATCATACCATGTTGAACTCAGACGTAACTTCAGAAAATTGATTTTCAGTCAAAATTACGTAAATTAGAAATTATCCAAAAAGAAGAATTTTCATGTAATTTTTAGTCTTCATTTGTTTGCTCTTAATAGAAATTGGCGATGTAGTTTCAAGTGTTTGCTCTTAATAGAAATTGGCGATGTAGTTTCAGGTGTTTTTACCAGACAGCTTGCTGTTATACCGGAAACACATGGTCAAATAAATTAAATAGCATTTAGAGACAAGTTAACAACTTTTTGACATACATACTCACGGAGAAGTTTATGTAAAACGAGTTTTTTAAATTCTGTAAAGTGAATCTTACATTACTTGAACATGCCACTCAAATTTTATTTGATTATTCTCATCTCTCGGTTGCTTTATTTGGATCTTGCATCCTCGTATACGTTTTTCTACAACTCACAGCCAACAGATGGCGACCTGTTTAGTTTCCTTAAGGTCCCCCCAATTCAGTCCGAGGGAGGGGGAGAGGGGAGGGTAATAGAGTCAGTTGAGTTTACCCTGAGAACAGTGGAGCCATCGGGTGTTTTATGCGTTCTGGTTGCCGAGGGCGAGAGTGAGTCGTCATTCGCAGTTGTTGAGATGTCTAGCGGAGATGTTTATCTCACAACAGCAAGAGCTGGCCCAACATCTGTTTACAGGTACTAATTAGCAAAATAATGAGATAGTTAACAAAAAAAAACTCGTAAACACTTCCAGTCTACTTTTCTTTTAGTTTGTCGAAATAAGAACTGTTTGATACGTGATGGGGTTCTTTTGAGATAAACTGAACCAGAATTTTTTTATATATAAATAAGTGAAAATTGGTGCAAAAGACGCGACAAAAAAGAATTCCAGTTTGTGTAAAAAATCTTGAAAAACGAGTATCATTGATTTTTAGGGTACCACATTGGAGCAAACTAGACACTGGCGAACCTTTCACAATCAAACTTTCCCATCAATTAACGAACGAAGTCGATATCTTTTCAATTTCTATCGATAAAATTGATCACTTGCAAGCAACATACACCAGTAATTTACCCTGGATCACTGGATTAAATTTGGCTTATTTTGGAACCCCACATACGAGCGAAGTACCCGCAGGATTCCCAGGGACAGCACTCAAGTTTAAGGGGTGTCTGTATGCTATTTCCATTACATACAGCGATGACAGCATTGGTTACTTAGGAAGTGTTCCGAACGACGCCGACACCAATATAATTTCAATTCCTTTTGAGAACACCAATGTTAATGAACAAAATTGTGCGTACGATGAAACTTGTGTTAGCTTCTCGGATGATCCCTGCCTGAACGGTGCTTCTTGCGAGGACGCTCTGGAAGGATACGATTGCTCCGGATGTCCGGGGGGATTCCATGGAAGGAACTGCAGTCTGACCTCACAATGTGGCGAAGAGAGTAAGACATGTATGGGCGGAGGATTCACATGTGTTGACACTGACACCGATTTCGAATGTAAGTATTTGTCCGAAAACAAATTCTGCTTTTTTAAATGACTGAATGGCTTAATCATTTAAAGCTAATTACCTAAAAGCTGTGAAAAAATCAAGTTTTAAAGGAATAGCACTGGGCCAAAACGGTAAACTAGAAAGGGGACAAAGGGTTGATTTAACAAAATAAAAGGTGGAGTTTGGTTGATTGTTTTATTAATGTACTGGTGACTAGTCAAAAATTTGAGATTGACGCATATTCATGTACAAATCTTTGAAAAACATCTTTCTTCTTAAAATGTTTTCTGAAAGAAGCTGATGACTTTGTAAAAATGATCTTTCGAAAGTGGAAAAACAGTTGAATATGGCCTTTTGATTTTTTTTTTGTCTCAAAACCTCAAAAATACTTGTTTAAAGAGGCACCTACCAATAATCACAGAGGACTCGGCCAACTTTTATAACCCGTAACCATTAAAGTTAGTAAAGTTACTAAAATGTTTCAATCTATCTCAATTTTTCTAATATCGGGTAAGATAAACGATGGATTAAGAGATTTAGCGCAGATTTTCCTGAAGAGGATTTTTCCTTATTTTCGGAAATTTGAAGTTACTCATTGTACTATCATGTACTCAAAAATTACTTCTATTTATTCTCAAATATGCTTCTAGGAATTGACTTTGAGATCATGTGAAGCTTCTAAGCTGTTGACTTACAGCCAGACTTACAAACTTATGTCCATACTATCGCGACTCATTTTCCGACTACACTGCGACTATTTTTCAGACTTCGCGACTAAAATACAATATTTCCAGACTTATTCCGCGACTAAAAACACTGTTCAGATTAAGAATTTTTGGTTGCTGAAGCACAATCGACGGCGCATCTGGTAAAGTCTGGAAATTAGTTGCGGTCCTCGACCCGGGTAAACACCAAAAAGGCTTCTAAGCAGATGTCGTAATAAATAGTGTTCACTAGATTATAGATGCTAAATTGGCTCATAGATTCTAAATCGGCTCATCGTCTCAAAGCTTGTGATGACTTAAAGTGAGATCTAACCTAGGCTGAAGGAAGCAGCAAAACGCACTTGAAAGTGTGACTAATTAAACATTTGTTTTGGCTAACTTATCCTAACACCATCATAACGTAATACGCATACCGTTTTTATCGCTCACTTCTTGTTTTAGATACCTGTCGATTGATTTATAACAAAAGCATTAATTGTGATTGAACAAAAAGAACTATCAAACTCGAAATCAATTTAAATCAAAAAGGATTGACATAATTCTGATTCTGCTCGAAATTCTGCGTTATAAAGTTATAAAATTGACTACGTGGAAAATGGTTGATATATTTTTACTTATTATTGTTTTATTCTCGTCTCGAACAGAATCGACAACAAGTTAGTCTTATTTCATGTTCGTTTTCTGAACGAATACGACAATTTCAATCGGAAGATTATGCAAGTAGTACAGAACATAACGACTGTTGAATTTGCTGCACGAAAACTAAAATAATAAATTCTTAAAATCGAAAATTTGTTTTTTTTTTGAATTTTTCAATGACTTTTCTTTGCACTTGAAAGCGGCTGAAATTACGCTAGATGAAAGAGGTAAAATAAAAATTATGAAAAACAAAACATTAACATATTTAAAACCAGATGTGGCGATCAAAAACAAATCACTGTCAAGATAAGTTTTGTTTGTTTGTTTTATTTGCATTGTTTAAATTTGTACAGAACAAATTTACTAAAGAATTTGTCAGCTTGTTGAAATCACTTTAGAAAATAACTTTTACCGTTGTAACACACATGTTTTTGCAATGCAAACTTCTGGTTGGGCATTTGCCCTCCAGAAAAAAAAATTGAAAGAAATTTAAAAAAAGTAAAAAAGGAGCCCAAAAGCGACGCAAAACTTCTCCGAAAAGTTTCTCCGAACATAACGCTGTGCTAAAAAAGAAATTTCCTTGATAATTTTTTTTTGAAAATGAAAAAAAAAACATTCTTTTTTTGTACTTTTTCTTCAAGCTTTGACGCTTCCTTGCGAATGGTAAGATACTTATATCTAGTTTTTAACAATGAACCAATTACGCTTTTAGAATAAAACAAATCTGTAGCAATTTTTAGTCGCATTAACCAATACAAAGAATGACCCTTCACTACAACCTTGTCTTAAAAGCAGAAGTTAAGTTCAAAATGCAAAAACTCCTGAATATCAAAATTTTTAAATACAAAATTTCAAATTTTTCACGGAAAAGGAAGTAGCTCTAAATAGTTGATAAAATTGTTCTAAAGTGTTTCTTTTGGAAGATTTATACATTCCAAAAACTTTTCGTAATTTTATACCTCTCAAAAACAAGTCTTAAAAAAGCCAGAAGCGGCAACTGAGGTCATCAAAGTTTCGCAAAAATCATTTTAAACCAGCTAAAAATTCAACAAGGGCAGCCCGTTGCTGTGCAAGTAGCAGGAAATGTTCAAGCATATTCTTAAAAAACTACAATTAAAAAAATATTGTAGTTTTTTGCGTGGTGTGATAAAACGATCTAAACTAAAAAATTGGAAATTTCGCTATTCATAGTACAATAAGCATATTGGAAAACAGTTTTCTTCGAAGTTTTTGTGAAGTTTTTATTCCCCTAGATGGCGCTAAAAAATTTTTAATACCTTCTTGGGATGAAAACTTATTTTACTAGACTTTTCAGGGCTTGAATAAAGAACTCATGGCTTATTTACTGCTAAGCTACGACTATGTTGTAATAAGCCTGCTCCCTCGTTTTACTCGCTCGGAATTAGACGAAAAATCATAAACATCAAACCGGTTTTTCTCGACATTAAATTTTTTTTGGAAATTTCTAAATGTTTAAATCACGACTGACAGGGCTGTAATATGACATATCTTTCAGCCCAGTCTCATGATAAATCTGGTACCTGATTTTGCGAAAAAAACTAAAACACATCCGAATACAAAGTTCCTTCCCAGTTCAAAGCTCGGAGCAAAATTAATTTTTTCCGGGGGCAGTTTTTTGCGGATAAGTTTTTTTTGGGTGAGAACACGAATTGACAAAACCTTGAGCTGGCGAAATCCAGTATACGAAATGACAAATGCAAAGCTAGGACCTTGCCACTTTGCTAGGAAATTCCTAGTTGAAAACTATCAAGTCAATGAGGACTCTTATGTAAAATTAGAATTTTTTGCGATAGTTTACAAGCTTTATTGTCATTTCAATTGTCATTTAAATTTAATGCGGAACGAAAAGAAAAATATTGAAAAAAATGATAAATCATTTTCGAATTTTGTCGATTTTTTTTCAAATCAACAAAACTGATTTCGCGCTCCGAGCTCAACAAAGGAGTACGAGGGGATTGAAATGTCGCCGGTTCAGTTAAGATGTCTTACTCATTCCTGCTTCCAGGCACTGGCTTTGTCACTTTCGAGCCAGACGCCTACATCTACATCCAGACCAACGAGACAGATGGGCCCTCAGATTCCCTGGAGAAAATTGAGTTCTCGTTCAGGTCAAGAGACGAGCAGGGAGTCATTCTCTACCTCAAGGGCGATCAAGTGCAGGGGTGCTTCTTCACGATTGAAGTCAATACAGGTGCGAATTATCAAAAGAATACATTTATACTATTTTGAAAATGGCCTTCTCGCATCCTGTCCTGTTCTTATCTGTTTTTTTTTGATAAGGTGTTTCAGTTTTTGTAAATTTTTGGATAAAATTATCATTTTTGAGCATTTTTGAAAATCGCAGAGCAGAAAATTACACTTTTTCGGAACGCGGTCTCACATTGAATGCATATAACGCTCAGAGCGTCTCGAGAAAAACTTTAGGATTGGTCAGCCAAAAAGGGATTCGTAAAATAGTCCCAAACATAGATACCTAAGGAACACTTTGGCAGCTAGTACTAACAATAAGGAGGGGCAGTTGCCCCACATCCTTATACTAGGCTCCCGTACTGCCTACTTCCCCCTTAAGCATGCAGCACTTATGATTATAGTCTCGGGCATTTTCAGCAGACTTTTACAATTCATGATGTCGACACTAGCAACCAGTACTCGTATCTCAAAAGTGGATGAGTTTCCGTTTCAGACGGCTGTTTGACCATCAAGTCATCGGCCTTCGACTCCGAAATCATCTTCGATTGTTCCATAACCGACGGAGAGATCCACAACATCACCCTAGACATCATCTCTTCTTCATCGGCGTCTTCTTCGATAGAGCTGAGAATTGTTGAGTCTTTATTCCAGGAGATGACTTCCTCCGGATCCGCTTTTGACATGCAATGCGTTTCCCACATTCTAGGTGAGTTTTTATTGCTATTCAAATTGCGTTTAAAGTCAGATAGAATTGACTTTTTTTCGCCTGCAAACTGTTATACACTTTGTCTTATCTGGCAATTGTTTTGGTTCATGAATAGAAGCGCTTGTTTTTGGATGGTAAAACGTTTTTCATCTTTACTCATGGCTTCATTATACTCATGGCTTCATATAAATCATGAAATAAAAAACTGCACACTAACCAATGTTTTAGTCGGAGGCATTACAAACGACGATATCCCAGTTCAGGTTGCAGACTTCCCATCTGGCGACCCAAAAAACATTCTGGGTTGTTTGGGTGATGTTCGGCTAAATGGAGAGCTTCTTCCACTTGACAGCTCGTACGTTATTTCTACAAGGGTTTTCGAATCTTTGACGAAGTCTAATGCGCAGAACTTTTGACGTCGGTCAGCAAAGGTTCTATTGCACAGCAATTTTTATGACAAACCAGAGAATTCAATTTTTGAAAACTTCAAAAAAGACCTCTTGCTCTGTTATGAGCGAGTTGATTTCATTAGTTACGTTTTCATAACAATTCAGGGAGTTTGACCCTAAGTTTATAGCTCACATAATGTATAAATGATTAGTCGTAAACTTTATTGGTATTCTGGAATTTTACTACAGAAAAACCCCAATTCTTTTTCATTCAACTTTGTTTCGAACAAAAACTGGTTTTGAACAAAGTTTTGTTGACAAATCGTGAGATAATTGTCTTAATTGGGGCAGCTTGACCACCGACTGAGCGTCTTTTTGAGTCTGTCAATCAATCATGCATCACTTCAAAGCGCTGGTCTGCTAAAAGACTCTTTTTTCACTTTTTATGCTAAAAGAATGGTCTGCTAAACGATGGGTCCCCTTAATCTATGTAGCAAAACTGGGGTTTAGGAAATTAGACGACAAGCAAATTAGACGATCAGAAATTAAGGGAATTTAGGCAATAACTTGCGTGAAATTTGTTTACAGGCTTAAATTAACTTTTGTCTGAATAAATACTGGTTGTCCGTAAATTCCGTTTCTTTACGGTTGTCTAATTTCCTAGGCTCCAGCAAAACTGAATCATTGTTGCAAATGTTCATAAAACAGGGTTTTCAATGATTCAGCGATGATTAAGTGTTCAGTCATGGGAAAAAAATTTAAAATTTGATCCAGCTCAATTTTGATTTTAAGAGTTTGATTTTTGATTTTTTTCAATTCAACTCAAATTCATTTGCTACAGGGGCGGATTTAGAAAAATTTTAGGGTCGGTCGGCCAAAAATGGATTTCTGAAAAAGTATCAAAGGGGGGACCCTTTGGGTCGGCAGGGGGTCGAATCCCTGAGGGAAGGCGTCCCCCCCCCCCTAAATCCGCCCCTGAATCCACACCAGACACAAACGAGAGGTTTACAATTTGATAACAAAAATAAACTGTTTTCAAACCAAATATCAACACTAGATTAAATTCATTAAATTATGATTGATATAGGTTTGAGAGGGCATCCAAAAGATTTCAAACGAAATCTGCCGAGGGATGCCTCAGGAAGCAGAACAGTTTAAAGTAAACCTCAATTCCTAAAACTAAACATTAGTTTTTTTTGGTAATTTCTGAAAAATTTTAGAAGAGTTTAAGCGTATAGATCTTGTGTTATGTATCACATTCAATCAATTCATTGTTGTAGAATATCGCTTTTTGACCAGTCAATTTCAAAAAATACAGCATCGTAAAATATCGTTTTTCGGTCGAAACTGTTAGCAATTTGATAACTATTTAGATTTCAAATAAAACATGAGCAAAAGTTTTCTTAAAGCAGAACAAGACTGCTCGCATCAGGGCGAAACCCTGAATGTTCCAACTGCTTTTTAAGGTTATGGAGTAGCAGTAATGTGAAAAAAATTAAATATAATACAAAATTAAAAGTTTTCAAAAAAACTTGAAAACATCCCCCACACGCCATATTAAGAACAAAGTGACAGATTTTGCTCCTACTAACAAATCAATTATAGCAGATAATCGTTCCAATTTATTTCTTTGAACTAATTTGGAACGATTTCTAATATGGATTAAATCTCGCTTACGCGTTAATAGCGCGAAACCTATCGCGCGTTAGTTGTCCCAAATTGGCCAACATGGCAATTTTTAAACCCCCATAACTTTACAAAAAAATGATCACAGGTGTAAGATTTCTTTTCGAATTTTCGCTCAGGACAACAATAGCTTATAAATGATACAAAAAAATTCCGTCATTAAAAAGTCGAAATTTGCCTGAAGAAAAATAATCCACCCGAGCACAAATGTTCCGCTATTTTCGTTACGAAAGTCGGAACAATAAAAACTATTTTTAAATCATGGGTTAACCTTAAATGTTATGAATGCTTTTTAAATTGTCTGAAGTAGTTTTTGGTTGAGGATTTCAATTAAATTTTTTATAAAAAGTAAATACATGCTTTCGAGCGCATGTTTGAAATAGAAGTCGATAATCCTCACGTGGTCGATTGGGCAGCTTTCAAAGCGTAGTAGCATTACCAGTAAATGATCATTAGATGGTGAAAGTTGCTTACAACTTTTTTCCAGATTTGAGCTCAAAAAATCGATTTTTTATCTACGACACACAGATAACACACAATAGACACAGTAAAAAGTTGAAAGCAATTCGAAGAAAATTAACTATCTCGAGCAGATATAATTTGTTGTTTTAGTTGAACGTCAGACCAACACGAGTGATCTGTACAGCGGGTTTTAACTTATCAGAACCATAAATCTAGCATTCGAAATGTCAAATTGTGCACTAAAAAACACCACAAAGTTTATGTGATGCCACCAAAACACGGGATCTGTTAAAATGAATTTGTTATTCAATTGATAAAAGGAAGTCTCAAACTAAAATTTCTCTCGTTTGAAAAAAATAAAAGTGCAAAAATTGTAAAACAAAACGTCTCCATTCTCAATAGAATATCTCTCAGCATTTAATCTCAACATTTCTGATAAATTTTCTAAATTTTCTTGCCGGCTGTTCAACTCAACAATCGTGGATTTATTTTTCAACAAAAACGTTACTACTTCCTTATACTGCATTTACTTAGGCCATAACAAAATAAGTCAAGACTGCTCGTGTATCAAAATGAAGCCCTGAATCTTCCAACTGCACATTAGAGCCAATTAAAAAAATTTTGGTTAAACATTTGGCGAAATAATCAAGAAAATTTTTTTCTTAAATTTATCACCCACACACAATTTATCCCCCTCATGAAAAATACAGAGGGAGTATTTAGTGTCACGTTTTTTTTGATAGACTAAATTGCTGGTCTCAATTCACCTTGGAACGCATTAATCCGGGCGTTAATTATCCCAAATATGGCCAGATTAGTAATTTTCCAACACCCGTAACTTTACACAAATGATCACAAGTGAAATATATTTTTTTTGATTTAAGCTAAACACAACAATATCTTTTAGATGATACAGAAAATTTCCGTCAAAACGCTTGTTTAAAAATCGAAAATTGACAGAATATAGAAAAACCGGGCCAAGCATAAATATTCCGTTTTCTTCGAAAGTCGGAGAAATAGCACTGCTCCTTGTATTATGGGGAAACCCCGATTTGTCCGACTGCATTTTAAGGTGTAAGGAGTAGTTTTTGCTTTAAGAAAATGGGTGGCATCAAAAAAAGGAAAAAAAAATCAACATTTTTTTTTAGCTGTTTTGGAAAATTATCCCAAACTTGCTATTTAAAGTACAAAGAGATTTATTTCAATTATAGCCGAATATTAAATAGACCAAAAGGTTCGCCTCAATTCTCTTAGAAATCATAACATGGATGATTACATCTCCACTTACGCGTTAATAGCACAAAAAACTAAACAACCTTTCAATAACTTCACGAATATTCGAAATTTGTCTGGAAAAAACACCCCTAGCACATATATTCCGTCATTTTTTTTCGAAAATAGTTGGAACAACAAAAATTTAGTTGTCAATGATTTCTGCAACAGGCCATTTCGAACAATAACTCGGAGAAGGATTGTCGATGCATTTTGAATAATTTTTGACTCATTGATCGAGCTAAGTTGATATTCGAATGCAGCTGTTGAAACTAAACATAAGGAAAAGCGATAAAAATCGACTGAAAAGTACGTGTTGAAATTAAAAGCCAGGAAGTAGACTTGACTTGTTGAAATTAAGGAATATTGACATTAAATGCAGAAAGGCATAAATAAAAACATTTTGTTGACCAAGACAACATACAACGCATCAAACTGACCAAATAATGATCCGCTAACATGCAGAAGCCACATGGTAAATTCTCAATTATGATTGGCCTGAAAGAGTTATGTAATAACCAAAGTAATGCCAGCCCCAAAACAACTTTAAAAGGCGATTGTTAGTTTGATATCAATTTGCACTAACTCGAAAAACCAGACATAGTTTAATCTAACTGCAGTTTTTTTTTCAGAGCCACGAACTCGAATGGGTTCGTATTTATTAAGTCTGCGTATATTTGGTACCGCGGATGTTTGGATCACAACTCTTGCTCCCATTTGGTCTCCAGTGAGACATGCAACAACGGCACATGTTCAGTTGTTACTGCAGAATGGCGTGGATTCCAGTGCGAATGCAAAAACACTGGTAAATTTTAAGATTTTGCGGATGTGTTTAAATGCGAAGGAGTAAAATTTGGTCCTCGATTGCAACAAGGTCTTTTTTGAGGGTAAAAAATTGTTTCGACTGACTATCCACGGATATCTGAATTTCATTTAAGTTAAGACGATTCATCCTCAAGGAGAAGGAAAAACATACGAGTTGTTAAGCTGATCACGGAGAACCGCTGTTGTGCATCTGCTTCGGGAATACATGCATTTTTTGGTTATTTTTCTGGGCTGGGTGATGTTGCCTCACCTGCAAGCAACCAGCACGGATCATGGTGGGCCTCAAACACCCGATGTTTCGATTGAGAGGCTGAGACCTAACCATTTCATAACCGTTGATTTTCATTTGCCATTGCTTCGCAGGTTTCGAAGGCACGAATTGCGAGATAGAAATCAACGAGTGTGCTTCTGGTCCCTGCGTGAGAGGAGAGTGCAATGACCTCATAAATGACTTCAGCTGCGACTGTCCAACTGGATACGAAGGGAAAGACTGTTCACAAGACATAGACGAGTGCTCAACGTGCCCTGAAGGTAACGCTTTTTGGCTCCAAAACACACGCTAAAACGTTTTGAGAGAGGTCTTTCTTGGGGAAAAGAAGATCGATTTAAAAATGTTTGTTTCATTTTTAGTCCCAACACACCGGCTTTCATAATGCGAACCTTGAATAGCTAAGGGTAATCTATTTAAATGCACTGAATGAAATCAAAAAAGAGACTTGCAAATTATGTTACAGAAGGGGAGCGAGAGGATGGTACCCCCTGTAATGGACCTTGTCTCAACTCAGCCCAATGTGTCAACTCAGTGGGATCCTTCTCTTGCAATTGTACCGACTTCTGGAAGGGGGATCTGTGTGACGAGGGATCCAAGTGTAGCGACTCGGAGTGCGTTGCAGACCAAACTGGTTCCTGTTCCGACGTGGAATCTGTGGAGCTTAATGGGGTTGGTGCCGTTCGTGCATTATAAAAAGTTCCAAAATAGTATCATGAAATAGTTCTTACAAAAAAATAACCACCAAAAGCTCGCAAATCTCAATGAGTTGAAAAACATTCTTTTCTGGATGCTAAAAAATTTCTGCAAGAAAAGCATTTAACTATGCAGAGATTATGTTGAAAATGGATGGTCAAATGATTGATCGTCTGAAATTTTGCTTGTAGTTAGATTGTTTTGTAATTTGTTTTATGTCTAGCTTAATGACCTTCGGTATTGATTAAATACCTGTTAACTCTGCATGATTCGATCATCGTTCGATCATTGTGTGTTGGTTCTAGTTTTAGTTTAGAAGGTTTTAAATTCACACTTTATTTTAATTGTTTTATTTTTTTAAGTAGTTGTACATTAACTGTACATACCTACACAGATTAATAGAACAATTTATTATGGCGCAGTCAAATGAATCGAACGTGCGTGGAATCCCCTTCTTTTGGCCGAACCATACTTTGGAGCCATCCTCGACCAATGGGCTTTTTAAATCTTTTAACTCACATAACCAGGTCAAGAAAAAACCAAGCCTCCACAGAGAAAGAAGTAATGCAAGCATGAAATGTGGGAACCCAATTACGAAAGGACATCTTAACGTATGCGCAGCAAAGGACATAACATGTAAAAATTAATTTTACAAAAGGCGCTTCGCTAAACTATGTAAGTCCCGTAACAAACGACCCACTGTAAGTACTGTATCTGATTATTATGTAAATATTGAGAATTGCACATACGTCCCGCCGGAAAGTTCGTGGAGCGAAAATCAAGAAATGTGCGGAGTGATAAATGCCTGGAACGAATGCGGACAGAGTGACGACGACAATTTCACGGTATTGGGCGTTAGAACAATCTACGACGAAAATGGACTCGAAACCAAGAAAAATTCAAATTTAGGATTTGGATTGGAATTGATCGTGAACATGAACATTCCGGTAGACTCAGCGAGCCCTGTTAGCTTTTTAAAACAAAACGTGTTGCACGAACTGGAGCTGAGATATCCCAACCTTAAAACTTACCCAGTGGAGAAGAAGATTAGAGACCTGTATTGTGGCTTCACTGATGATACCATCAATATTCTAGGAATGATTATTATTAAGACGCATGACTATTGTTCTTTATCACTGATGGTCACGACGGCAAAATGTCGGGGAACAAAAACTTACCAAAAGTAGGCATCGAAGTGAAGCAGAAGAAATGCCCGCAGCCGATTTGCTCAGTCAGTCAACCACCATTCGAGAGTAAGTGGAATAAATCATACTTACCAACTGATAATTTTTTAATAAACCTAAAGAACTATTCTCTCGAGTGGGGAAAATCCCTAACATTCGCAAGGTCGCACACTTCAATTCCCCGTTTAAATCTATTCAGGCAAAAGGGAGAAGAGTTCCCCTACGCTTACTTACAGGAGTTAATGAAAAATTAGGACGAATGGAGACCGAGGGTCACATTATAAACTTGAAAAGTGTGACAAAGATTGTTTTATTAGCCCGATTGTTATAAACAGGAAAAAAGACGGTTCAATTAATTTGGTATTAGATTCTAAATTGCTAAATGACCAGATTTTTAAAAACAAATACCAAATGCCAAATATCCATGAACTCATAGATAACGTGGCCTAAAGAATCTCAGAAAATTTACTGGGCAGGTGTGGTTTAGCATCTTGGATCTGAAAAACGCATACAGCCAACTTAGATTGTGCAAAAAAACGAGTAAGCAATGTAACTTCAGTCTTGTGGTCGGCGAAACAACGGTTTTTTATCGGTTTTTAACTGGTTTTATTCGGACTGGGTGATATGCCCAACGAATTTCAACGAGTCATGGACTCACTTTTCAAGAACAAACCGTTCACAAGTTGTTATAAAGACGATATACTGGTGGCAGTGAAGGGATCACTGGAGCAACATAAAGCAATTGTAAATAAAATTATAATAATTCTGGACAAGAACAATATGGCGGTGAAATGAGGGAAATGTGCATTCTTCCGTTCAGAAATAGAATGGCTAGGCTTTAAAATCTCGGGGGATGGAGTACAACTTTTGGTCGGTAAAGCAGACGCCATCAACAACCTCCCAATCCCCAAGAACATTTCGGAAGTGCGATCCTGCTTTGGCTCCATAAATCAGTATGTAAAATTTGTCCCGAGTTTATCAACCTTAAAATGTCAACTTCGCTCCCTGTTAATTAAAAAGTCAGTATATAAATGGGACAATAACCACTCGTTAGCCTTCGAAAAACTAAAAACAGAATTTTCAAATTTTACGGAAAATAGTCACTTCGATATAAAAGAAAAAACTAGATTAAAAAACGGACGCCTCTCATAGTGGTCTGGGCGCAACTTTAGAACAATTCCAAGGGCAGTGGAGAACGATTGCATTCGATTCAGGATTTCCAAACAACCAAGAAATGAAATAATCTACAAACGAACTGGAACTGCTGGGCGTGCTGTGGGCCTCAGAACGATTTAGAAAACACCTTTATGGGGCAGAATTCGAAATAGTAACGGACCATAAAGCTCTACTTCAGCTCTTTCAGCAAATCAGAGTAATAAGACTATGAATAGTCGACTGACTCATTGGGTAAACAGATTGTTACCTTTTAACTTTAAGATTTCCCAAATACCAGGAAAAGATATGGTTTTTACGGACCTTTTATCTAGATTACCTTTGGGCAAAATCCTCCCACCTTCTTATTACGACAATTTGTAGTCGCTTTAATTGACAAAATTCAGAATATTTCATCCAATAGAGACCAATTTAACCTTGTAAATGTAAGTTTTGTAGATAGACCGTCGGTGGCTGTAAAATCAAATACGCTCGTTAATAGTAATATCCCGTAGAGAGTTAGAAATTCAACCAATCTGATTGGTCAAGATCCTTTTAACAGCTCTTTAGTTTATCTTATCCTTAAAATTATTGCTGCTATTATATCTTGTATTGTTCAGTCAATAAAAGTTTGCAATAACTCTCATTTTCGAGCAGAAAATTGTTCTTCCAAATGTTTACCTCTTGACAATTCTAAACATATTTACAGGAGCTTTATTTTTTCGGTCGGGTAAGGACCTTTTATATTTTATCATTAAAATAAACACTTATTTCCACAGAAAAAGGAAATTTTTGCAACAAAAAAATGAACGAGATTACCGGCCCATTACTTATTAATCCAGACGAACACGTGATTTCTCTAAAGTTCAAAGATGACCACCTTCCGATCGATCATGCAAATCTTATGAAGAAATTGAAATCCGACTTACAACTTCCTAACGCTCCGTTATTTTGCGAAGACCACTGCTCCAAGAAATTACTACAGTTGATGACGAGAGAGGACAAAGCGATTTGGGACCTAATGGACACTACAAAAACTGGACAACCAATGGGCATTCACGGAAATTATATGAAAAATTACTTAAAGGAACTTCACTTGAAAGACGACTTACAACTCTTAGATAACAAGTTAGTCGTACCGACAACCATCAGGGGAACCTTCAGCTCAATGCTTCATGAGACCCATCCAGGCCAATTCGGTATGAAATTTTTGGCAGAATAAATTTGGTGGCCCCAATTCTACCGAGAGATATACCATCATGGGAAGTCATGTAACCAATGCATTAAAGCCGGTAAGAACCTCAAAGTTTTACTTGGTACGGACCATACTACAACACTGCCCACGTTGTCGTTCGCGAACGAGGAAATAAACCTGGACTTCGGAGGTCTTTGGGGAACAAAAAAGTATATTCTCTTGTGCATCGAATGTTTTACTAAGTTTCCATCGGCGAAGGTGGTCAATATAACCACTTCAAACTCCGTTATCTCAATTTTAAACGATTATTGCCATCTTTACGCATTTCCTCCGTTATCTCAATTTTAAACGATTATTGCCATCTTTACGGATTGCCATCTTTACGGATTTTAAACCTTACTGTGAAAAATATAACATCGAAATCATTTACTGCACAGTCGGCGACCATAGATCTAATGGGCTTGTGGAAAGGTTTGTTTATACTGTAAAGTCTAATATATTAGCCATGTCATTTGATTTACCAAAACTTTTTTAAACTCTTTGATCGAAAAAAATATCTGGAACCTCAAAATTACAAAACAAGCTTCAATCGGTTGTACTCTGATCGAGAAATGTTTTAATAGAACGTCTGAAAACAGATAGAAAAATCTGATTTCCCTTGATAACCGTTTAGATAAAGGAAAATCAACTCTATCCGACCAACGGGCCAGAAATTGGAGTTGAACGACGGCGCGGAAGACGGCTATCTGGACGCTGACATGGACGCGCAAACCGACTCTGAAGATACTTTGCCGCTAGCTCTCACAATCTCAAGGACTCCCGTACCAGAAACTCATAATTCGGACAAAGGCTCAAGATCGATAAAGAAACTAGTCTCTGAAGGTAAATAATATAGAAGCGCGGCCAACATAAAAAATGGGGAACCTTATTTTATTCTTGTAAAGCAGGATGTCATCGACTCATCTGAGCATACCATAACACTTGATAACGGTCACATTTTACGTAAACCGTATATACCCTACAATCGAAAACTACTCCCTGGTCCCAGGAAATTGTTTTGAATCAGTCACCATCGAGCATAAGCTAACTGTACCTTCGAGTTTAGAAGCAAAGAGGAAATTATCACCTCCGAAGAAGACAATTGGGACAGATCAATTCCAGTTAAATCAAGGCACATCAAGAGGGGATAGGCCGAAACAAGTGTCTGGACCGTCGACAGATCCATTATTTACACACGATCTTTCACGAAACACCTCAGGTTCCTCGTCATCTTTAAATTGAAACTCATGGGATGGAATAACAGACGACCATTTCGACGATTTGACAAATAATAATGTACCGCTTAGCCAACAAGCCGACTCGCGATCTAACCAAGGGTTAAGTTTTACAGGTGAAGACCACACTCAATCAACCAGGCCTAACCTCACTGGATCTACAGAACACCCTGCAGTCGTGGACGAGCCAGACGAAGCGACAATAGAGGGTTATGAAAAGAACCCAATTATGTTGGACAGTACCCCAGAAGAACCTTCCCCGTTGAAACAACAACCGAGGACGTCTAGACCTCGCAGAAACGTGGGACCCCAAAAATTCTTCGGAGAACAAAGATAAATCGACATCGTTCTAGAAACGAAAGACCCGACCACTCAAGTGTTTACGCTACAGAGCGACACTCTTAATTCACCAAGGGCTTCTTTCACCGTCATTTCATCATCAGACTTCCTAACACCACTCTCGGAGGTACCTCTAAAAAACCACCCTCGTTGTAGAAACTACCTTATCCTGGTCTTCACAGAATTGTATCCCATCGGGATGAGCAAGACAATTTTGACGAATACATCCTTCGGATCCTCTTCTTCACCAGGACCTACAACTTACGACAAAACTGACAATATAGAAGGAGCCAGTAATTTTTTTTTCGACAATTGATACAGACCTGAAACACAGACTAGACGATTTCGATGCAAGATTTAATTAAGATTTGCCAAACTTTTTTTCAAGTATTTTCACTTTTTTGGTATTCATTTTTAACTGACCTTCGTTAATTTGGATCATATTTTACATGTTGAATGTACATCTTGTAGATTGGTGGTAATTTATTTAGTTTTTTTTTCATTATTGTATAACGGTAAGTTCTGTATATTCATCTTTTGTACATCTGTACTTTCTAAAATTCATTCCATTTTTGCTTGCTGTACTATTGTTTGGCGCAGTTTGTAAAATTTTGTGCCTCCTTTGAAGGGGGAAATGGGTGTATATCGAATTGGTTTTAGTTAATTTGTAGTTTAATTTTTTCCCCGGTGGGAAATTGTGTGGTTTGTTTTATGTCTATCTTGATGACCTTCAGTATTGATTAAAAACCTGTTAACTCTGCATGATTCGTCCATTGGTTGATCGTTGTGTGTTTGTTGGTTCTAGTTCAAGTTTAGAACGTTGTAAATTCACACTCTTTGTTACCTGTTTTACTCTTTTAAGTAATTGTACATTAATTGTACATACCTACGTAGATTAATAGATTATTTTATTAGATTGAATGAAGGAAAATGCTTTTTCCACTGGTATTCACACATTTCGCACCTCATAAATGACTGGCACATTTCGCCCCATGCACGTTTCGCTCTGATATTGTACACTAAGAAAGCGGCGGTTAATTAACTGTGTAATAAGTTAGGGGCAAAACGTGCGACGAAATGTGTGAAATTAATCCGGACAAAGGCTCAAGATCGATAAAGAAACTAGTCTCTGGAGGTAAAAACTATAGAAGGGCGGCCAACATAAAAAACGGGGAAACTTATTTTATTCTTGTAAAGCAGGATGTCATCGACTCATCTGAGCATACCATAACACTTGATAACGGCCACATTTTACGTAAATCGTATATACCCTACAATCGAAAACTACTCCCTGGTCCCAGGAAATTGTTTTGAATCAGTCACCATCGAGCATAAGCTAACTGTACCTTCGAGTTTAGAAGCAAAGAGGAAATTATCACCTCCGAAGAAGACAATTGGGACAGATCAATTCCAGTTAAATCAAGGCACATCAAGAGGGGATAGGCCGAAACAAGTGTCTGGACCGTCGACAGATCCATTATTTACACACGATCTTTCACGAAACACCTCAGGTTACTCGTCATCTTTAAATTGAAACTCATGGGATGGAATAACAGACGACTATTTCCACGATTTGACAAATAATAATGTACCGCATAGCCACCAAGCCGACTCGCGATCTAACCAAGGGTTAAGTTTTACAGGTGACGACCACACTCAATCAACCAGGCCTAACCTCACTGGATCTACAGAACACCCTGCAGTCGTGGACGAGCCAGCCGAAGCGACAAAAGAGGGTTATGAAAAGAACCCAATTATGTTAGACAGTACCCCAGAAGAACTTTCCCCATTGGAACAACAACCGAGGACGTCTAGACCTCGCAGAAACGTGGGACCACAAAAATTCTTCGGAGAACAAAGATAAATCGACATCGTTCTATAATAGGAAGACCCGACAACTCAAGTGTTTACGCTACAGGACGACACTCTTAATTCACCAAGGGCTTCTTTCACCGTCATTTCACCATCAGACCTCCTAACACGACTCGCGGAGGTACCTCCAAAAACCACCCTCGTTGTAGAAACTACTTTATCCTGGTCTTCACAGAAACGTATCCCATCGGGACGAGCAAGAGAATTTTGACGAATACATCCTTCGGATCCTCCTCTTCACCAGGACCTACAACTTACGACAAAACTGACAATATAGAAGGAGCCAGTGATTTTTTCTTCGACAATTGATACAGACCTGAAACACAGACTAGACGATTTCGATGCAAGATTTTATTAAAAACTCTAAAAACTTTTTTAAAGTATTTTCACTTTTTTAGTATTCATTTTTAAGTGACCTTCGTTAATGTGGATCATATTTTACATGTTGAATCTACATCTTGTAGATTGGTGGTGTTTTATTTAGTTCGTTTCATTATTGTATAACGGTAAGTTCTATATATTCACCTTTTGTACATCTGTACTTTCTAAATTTCATTCGTAGATTCGATTTTTGCTTGCTGTACTATTGTTTGGCGCAGTTTGTAAAATTTTGTTCCTTCTTTGAAGGGGGAAATGGGTGTATATAGAATTGGTTTTAGTTAATTTGTACTTTAATTTTTTCCCCGGTGGGAAATGGTGTGATTTGTTTTATGTCTATCTTGATGACCTTCAGTATTGGTTAAAAACCTGTTAACTCTGCATGATTCGTCCATCGGTTGATCCTTGTGTGTTGGTTCTAGTTCAAGTTTAGAACGTTTTAATTTCACACTTTTTTTTTTACTTGTTTTACTCTTTCAAAGATTGTACATTAATTGTACATACCTACGTAGATTATTAGATTATTTTATTAGATTGAATGAAGGAAAATTCTTTTTTCACTGGTATTCACACATTTCGCACCTCATAATTTACTGGCATATTTCGCGCCATGCACGTTTTGCTTCGATATTGTACACTTAGAAAGCGGCGGTTAATTAACTGTGTAATAATTTAGTTGCAAAACGTGCGACGAAGTGTGTGAAATTAATAGGGGCGACTTGTGTGGGGCGAAACATGGGGCATTTTTTCACTAAATATTACTATATTCTACTATATATGGAGCATCATATTGATTTTTGTTCAGTGAACTTCATATTATTCTTCTAGCGTCAGTTCTTGTGCATTTGCGAGACGGGATTCATGGGGGAGGTGTGTGAACAGGTAGACTTGTGTGCATCCCAGCAGTGCAGCGGGAGAGGCAACTGTACAAATGTAGACAACACTTTCCAGTGCACATGTGAACAAGGTACCCAAGAAAAAGCAGCAACCATTCCCAAAAGCATCATTTTGGCACAATTTTCTAACAATCAACTCGACAAAAAACTGATGATTCGAATAATCACCCCTATAATTAACTAATTCACCGGTTATCGAATTGCCGAACTTTAAACAGTCGATAACTTTATAGTGATTTTCAAATTGACTGATTAAACACTTTCATCGGAAATGTTATATTTTGGCAGGTTGGGAGGGAACAGTTTGTGAGGACGATATTAACGAATGCGACACCCTCTCTCCTTGTGCCCGACAGAACACAACACGAGACTGCGAAAACCTCGCAGGCGGTTACAACTGTCACTGCAAGTTCGGCTACACAGAACCACACTGCGACTCCGTGCTCGACTTCTGCGAAGAAGGACCCTGCAAGAACAATGCTTCTTGCGAATCCACTGACTTTGTCGGGTTCAATTGCACATGCATTCCTGGATTCACAGAAAGATTGAAGGATTTTTGATCTTTTTTCCACACATAATATACCGACACATACATTTACTTAGGCTTCAACATTTGCATTATTTTAAGAGTTTTAACAAACTAATAAACATTAACCCTCGAAGATATCGCTCCAGGGTTGAGGATGGTAATTTGATACGAAAAAAAAGTTCTTTTGCCATGTGCAGGCGAGACCTGTGAGATGAACATTGACGAGTGCGAGGGAAACAACTGTGCGTCGGGACAATATGTGTAGACGGAGCCAACCAGTACAAATGTGACTGCATTGGCACAGGGTTCAGGGGTCAGCTCTGCGATGAGTCATGTGTCAACTCAAGTGCGTGGAAGAATTCTGCCAGTTATCTTTTCAATCAAACTTCCGATGAGTTCTTCTGCGACTGCAGCTCAAATTTCGAAGGTGGGTACATTTTTTTTTCGAAGCTCAGGAAGGACAATATATTACATCTTGTACACAAAAGGGCAATTTTCAATCTAAGCCCTCAAAAAACAGCTAGTAATTATCTTCAAGATAAGCTCTTTCCATAATTTTACAAGAAAAAAATGGAAAGGAAACATAGCGCCCAAAAAATTTTATGAAGGGTACATTCTCCAAAAAATTGACCAAATTGTTTGAAAATAGTTTTTAAACAAGAACTGGTGCTTTATATAGTAAAAACTACCTTTTTTGTCTATAAAACAAAATAAAATTTATACTATGTTTTGGAGAGTATACATTTCTTGAAAATATGTTGGGCTACGTAAGAGGCTCACTTTGATATATTTATGCCAGTATTTGACGAGGTAGCTTTGGCGTAATTTTCGATTGACTAAAAAAGCCAAAAATGACCGACTTATAGGGTAAAACTTTGGGCCCGAATTTATCAAACCAAACTGCATCATAATAATTCTGTTTAAACTCTCGGCAATTTTTGTGTTCATCATTTTGTACCTCAAATCAACTTAATTTGAGAAAAACGCGTTTTAAATTTCTAGTTTAATGCGTTTTGTCCGGATAACGTAAATTAGCACTGTATGTAATTGAGTAAAAAACATTTAAGTGAAATAGATTTCAGCTGAAGTCAACACAAAAATTGTTCAATTCTGAGACACCTGAAAATGGTGGTACCTATTCCAGCCAGTAAGGGTGATAAAGTCGACTTTCTTTAAAAGCGTGGTTTTTATTGTTTAGTGACTACCTGAAAACATTTTTGATAGTCTTGTAATATGCTTTTACTTCTAGGTCAATTATGCTCGGAGCAACTTTTGGGTGGAGACAACGATGACGGCAAAATTTCAACGGCAGGAGCTGCACTGCTTGCAATTCTCATTATAGTAGTCGTCGTAATAATAATCATTGTTGTATTCCTGGTTGTGAAACACCTGAATAAGACTCAAGTATCTTCTGGTTCGTTTGATCCAAAATTTGCAGAAGGTGCCGACAACCGAACAGTCCCGAAAGACAGCGAATTCCCCCAATTTACAATTCCGAGAGCCAAGCTGGAAAGACTCATTTGAAGTCATTTTCACTAACATTTTCAAAATAACTCATTTTTGTATTCTGGCTTCATTTAATTTAAATTTTTCAAAAAGCTTGTTATGAAAAATTATTAAGTTTGGCAAATCCTTGCACTTGCATGTAGACACAACATCGCCCAATCCATTGATGTACTAAGCCGATAAAATCTGAATTGCGTTGAAAATAGACCCCGTCTACTTTCATGGCCTAACGCGAAAATACTTTAAGTACAGAGGCGAAGTGGAGTTTTATATTTAGCAAAACTATTATATTTAAAAAAATAAAATAACGTGTTTCTCAAAATTGAAACAAGTTTTCTAATCAAAATTGAGAATCCAGAAAAATTTTCAGAAAATGAGGTAGAAATTATTTAATATGTTTGAAGTAGTTCTACTCGTATTAAAATTCATTTCCAAATCAAATTTTGGTTGCAACACTTGCAAGGTTGAAAAAAATGGTAACAGAAGGAATTTGAGATTCCCGCAAAAGTATAGCTTTGGTAATTAGGGCGCTTAAAAGGTTGATTGAAAAACAAAAATGGATTTTTTCTAGATTTTGCCTATTCTTTCACTCTTTTTGAGAGGAATTTCAAAAAGTGTGAAAACTTAAGTATAAAGAGTGAGGCTCGAGTTTCTGTTATTCTGTCACCCAAATAAAAATCCAAGAAAAAAGACAACAAAGAACTGACCAATTAAAAAACAACAAGCAAAAAACAATTTTTAGTGTCATGGTGGAAAAATAGATGACACAGAAGAGGCAAAATCATAGTGACGTAGAGCTTCAATCGATTGATTTATCTTTTAATTTTTCAAATCAACACTTGTAATACGCTCAAAAAAACCTGTCTTAAGTAGGCCGGCGTTGACTGATTTATAAATAATTCAGCTGAACAAAAAATACCTTTTTTTCAAAAAAAAAAGAGTTCAAAAAATTAATTTAGCGACGCTTTCCTATTACCAAGTTTCTGGAAACAATTTTTTGTGAATATTGAACTTTACATTTGACAAAAAACTGCAGCCAAACCGACAAATAAACCAAAATCACGAAGACCAAAAAGTGACATTTTTAATTCTCTCAAAACCTGATTTAGCACGCATAAATTAACAAAAATGTATGTCAATAGACCAGCATTATTTGAAATACTTGAAAAACCAAATGGAAGTAATTAATAGCTTCCTTTGGCAACTAGGCAAAAACAATGAGGCAATAATTTAATTAAATGAAGTATCCCGATAATAACCCTTGAAACAAATGACAACTGTATTAAAATTTGTATAGTGCTAATAGGTATATAGATACTGTAGATCAAACACCACTACATTCACCTAATCTCAACTGTCTCTACCGCTACTTGAAAGTGTCGGAAAACAATCATCACTGAGCAAAGATCATCACTGAACGCAAACAGTGCGAGCGGTGGTGAAGTGGTTATGTCTCCGCCTCTCAGTTAAAGGTTGGAGATTCGAGGCCCGCCATGATCCTAGATCGTTGAGTGTGAGGCAACATTACACAGCCCAGAAAAATAGCGGAAAAAACTGCGAGTATACCTGAACCAGGGGCAGAAACAACAGCGGTTTTCCGTGAAGACTTGAACAGCTCAATTGTTGGTAGTTTCAATTGTGGTTAAATCGTTTTAATCTAAATAATTTTAGTTCCATTTCAAAACCCTATTGAGTAACTAAGCTTTTATCGCCACTTCTTATGCAATTTTATTGCTGGAATATGGCCGACTGCGTGCTAAGGCAAGCAAGTTTTCAGGTCGAACATCAGCATGCTACCTTATTGCTTGATCTGATGTGAAAATCTTATTCCTGCAAAAACCCCGTCTTTAAAATTTTCGTTTTCATTAAAATTAATAGCCGTATCCTCATGTTGTTGAGAAATTTCTGCTCTTTGTCAAACTATTTAAGAAACGCAAAAAATTTCCAAGATCATGAGACTAAACCCTCACAAAAAATATCTCTTATTAGCTTTATATTGAGCGTTTCTTTACTTTGAGCAGAACAACCAACCGAATAGCATTTCAAATAATAAAAACAATACTTTTTCAGTTTTTCTAATGACTAGCGTTATTTTTTCGCAATTGACGTAATTATTACTTATTTCGGTTTGCTTATTTTGGTTTTTTACAGACACATCAGTTCGCTGAACGCTACCCCGATTCAAAGTTCAAAAATAGAGGCAGAAACTAGCCCATTGTTCTATTAGTTTATCATTAGAATGCTACTAACAGTATATTTTAATATCTTTTATTGTTTTCGAAGGTTCTTGAACAAAAATGTTTAAAAGGCTGAACACGTAAAACAGTATTAAAAAAACTCTTATCAGAACTCAATAATAATTTTGGAACAAAGTTTAAAAATTACAAATTTTAGTCATTTAAAGCACTAATTTGTACAAGTATAATTTCTGATTCAGTTTTTAAGAACATATAAAAACTTGCCCACATAAACGTTCTTGAAATATTTGGGAATAGTGCCGGAATTAACAACACCGTTACAGGACATCAATTTGATGGGAATTGATAACAAAACCTCATGTCAAGGTCGGATTATAACATTGAACAACGTTTCTCAAACACTTGACGGTGGCGTCCCTCTTGATAGAGGGAACGAATGTTGAAAATTTATTTTCAGTCATTTTCAGCTTATCAGAATTATGTATTCAAAAATCTCAGAGAAACCTTCAAAAACTCAAAGCAAGCAAAAAAATTCCAGGCCATAAAAAATAATGCTGACCGATTAAAATGCTGATGTAAATTATCCGGACAGAACGAATTAAGAAAAAAAAACGTAAGACTGTCAAATTACGTTGTATTAAGACAAAAAATGATGAAGACAAAATTTGCTGCAATTTATTTCGCAAAATTTCGGGTCCAATCATTTTCAGTTTTTTTAGTCAAGCAAAACATACACCAAACAAATTGGTTCAATTATTGTCAAAATTCTATAAAATTCAACACAATTTTGACGAATACTTCCTTCGGATCCTCCTCTCCATCAGGACCTACAACTGACGATATAGAAGGAGCCAGTGATTTTTTCTTCGACAATTGATACAGACCTGAAACACAGACTAGACGATATCGATGCAAGATTTAATTAAAAACTACCATAACTTTTTTTCAAGTATTTTCACTTTTTTAGTATTCATTTTTAACTGACCTTTGTTAATGTGGATCATATTTTACATGTTGAATGCACAACTTGTAGATTGGTGGTGTTTTATTTAGTTTTTTTTTTATTATTGTATAATGGTAAGTTCTGTATATTCACCTTTTGTACATCTGTACTTTCTAAATTTCATTCGTAGATTCCATTTTTGCTTGCTTTACTATTGTTTGGCGCAGTTTGTAAAATTTTGTTCCTCCTTTGATGGGGGAAATGGTTGTATATAGAATTGGTTTTAGTTAGTTTCCAGTTCAATTTTTCCCCGGTGGGAAATGTTGTGATTTGTTTTATGTCTATCTTGATGACCTTCAGTATTGATTAAAAACCTATTAACTCTGCATGATTCGTCCATCGGTTGATCATTGTGTGTTGGTTCTAGTTCATGTTCAGAACGTTTTAAATTCACACTTTTTTTAAACTTGTTTTACTCTTTTAAGTAATTGTACATTAATTGTACATACCTACGTAGATTAATAGATTATTTTATTAGATTGAATGAAGGAAAATGCTTTTTTCACTGGTATTCACACATTTCGCACCTCATAAATTACTGGCACATTTCGCCCCATGCACGTTTCGCTCCGATATTGTACACTAAGAAAGCGGCGGTTAATTAACTGTGTAATAAATTAGGGGAAAAATGTGCAACGAAATGTGTGAAATTAATCCGGACAAAGGCTCAAGATCGATAAAGAAACTAGTCTTTGGAGGTAAATATTATAGAGGGGCTGCCAACATAAAAAATGGGGAACCTTATTTTATTCTTGTAAAGCAGGATGTCATCGACTCATCTGAGCATACCATAACACTTGATAACGGCCACATTTTACGTAAATCGTATATATCCTACAATTGAAAACTACTCCCTGGTCCCAGGAAATTGTTTTGAATCAGTCACCCAACGAGCATAAGCTAACTGTACCTTCGAGTTTAGCAGGAAAGAGGAAACTATCACCTCCGAAGAAGACAATTGGGACAGATCAATTCCAGTTAAATCAAGGCACATCAAGAGCGGGTAGGCCGAAACAAGTGTCTGGACCGTCGACAGATCCATTATTTACACACGATCTTTCACGAAACACCTCAGGTACCTCGTCATCTTTAAATTGAAACTCATGGGATGGAATAACAGACGACTATTTCGACGATTTGACAAATAATAATGTACCGCATAGCCAACAAGCCGACTCGCGATCTAACCAAGGGTTAAGTTTTACAGGTGACGACCACACTCAATCAACCAGGCCTAACCTCACTGGATCTACAGAACACCCTGCAGTCGTGGACGAGCCAGACGAAGCGACAATAGAGGGTTATGAAAAGAACCCAATTATGTTGGGCAGTACCCCAGAAGAACCTTCCCCATTGGAACAACAACCGAGGACGTCTAGACCTCGCAGAAACGTGGGACCCCAAAATTCTTCGGAGACAAAAATAAATCGACATCGCTCTAGAAAAGGAACACCCGACCACTCAAGTTTTTACGCTACAGGACGACACTCTTAACTCACCAAGGGCTTCTTTCACCGTCATTTCACCATCAGACCTCCTAATACCACTCGCGGAGGTACCTCCAAAAACCACCCTCGTTGCAGAAACTACCTTATCCTGGTCTTCACAGAAATGTATCCCATCGGGACGAGCAAGACAGTTTTGACGAATACATCCTTCGGATCTTCCTCTTCACCCGGACCTACAACTTACGACAAAACTGACGATATAGAAGAAGCCAGTGATTTTTTCTTCGACAATTGATACAGACCTGAAACACAGACTAGACGATTTCGATGCAAGATTTAATTAAAAACATCCAAAACTTATCGCTCCGATATTGTACACTAAGAAAGCGTCGGTTAATTAACTGTGTAATAAGTTAGGGGCAAAACGTGCGACGAAATGTGTGAAATTAATCCGGACAAAGGCTCAAGATCGATAAAGAAACTAGTCTCTGGAGGTAAATACTATAGAAGGGCGGCCAACATAAAAAATGGGGAAACTTATTTTATTCTTGTAAAGCAGGATGACATCGACTCATCTGAGCATACCATAACACTTGATAACGGCCACATTTTACGTAAATCGTTTATACCCTACAATTGAAAGCTACTCCCTGGTCCCAGGAAATTGTTTTGAATCAGTCACCCATCGAGCATAACCTAACTGTACCTTCGAGTTAAGCAGGAAAGAGGAAACTATCACCTCCGAAGAAGACAGTTGGGACAGATCATTTCCAGTTAAATCAAGGCACATCAAGAGCGGATAGGCCGAAACAAGTGTCTGGACCGTCGACAGATCCATTTTTTACACACGACCTTTCACGAAACACCTCAGGTTCCTCGCCATCTTTAAATTGAAACTCATGGGATGGAATAACAGACGACTATTTCGACGATTTGACAAATAATAATGTACCGCTTAGCCAACAAGCCGACTCGCGATATAACCAAGGGTTAAGTTTTACAGGTGACGACCACACTCAATCAACCAGGCCTAACCTCACTGGATCTACAGAACACCCTGCAGTCGTGGACGAGCCAGACGAAGCGACAATAGAGGGTTATGAAAAGAACCCAATTTTGTTGGACAGTACCCCAGAAGAACCTTCCCCATTGGAACAACAATGGAGGACGTCTATACCTCGCAGAAACGTGGGACCCCAAAAATTCTTCGGAGAACAAAAATAAATCGACATCGTTCTAGAAAAGGAACACCCGACCACTCAAGTGTTTACGCTACAGGACGACACTCTTAACTCACCAAGGGCTTCTTTCACCGTCATTTCACCATCAGACCTTCTAACACCACTCGCGGAGGTACCTCCAAAAACCACCCTCGTTGCAGAAACTACCTTATCCTGGTCTTCACAGAAATGCATCCCATCGGGACGAGCCAGACAATTTTGACGAATACATCCTTCGGATCCCCCTCTTCACCAGGACCTACAAGTTCCGACAAAACTGACGATATAGAAGGAGCCAGTGATTTTTTTTTTCGACAATTGATACAGACCTGAAACACAGACTAGACGATTCCGATGCAAGATTTAATTAAAAACTGCCAAAACTTTTTTCAAGTATTTTCACTTTTTTAGTTTTCATTTTTAACTGACCTTCGTTAATGTGGATCATATTTTACATGTTGAATGTACATCTTGTAGATTGGTGGTGTTTTATTTAGTTTTTTTTTTATTATTGTATAACGGTAAGTTCTGTATATTCACCTTTTGTACATCTGCACTTTCTAAATTTCATTCGTAGATTCCACTTTTGCTTGCTGTACTATTGTTTGGCGCAGTTTGTAAAGTTTTGTTCCTCCTTTGAAGGGGGAAATGGGTGTATATAGAATTGGTTTTAGTTAAGTTGTAGTTTAATTTTTTCCCCGGTGGGAAATGTTGTGATTTGTTTTATGTCTATCTTGATGACTTTCAGTATTGATTAAAAACCTGTTAACTCTGCATGATTCGTTCATCGGTTGATCATTGTGTGTTGGTTCTAGTTCTAGTTTAGAACGTTTTAAATTCACACTTTTTTTTACTTGTTTTACTCTGTTAAGTAATTGTACAATAATTGTACATACCTACGTAGATTAATAGATTATTTTATTAGATTGAATGAAGGAAAATGCTTTTTTCACTGGTATTCACACATTTCGCACCTCATAAATTACTGGCACATTTCGCCCCATGCACGTTTCGCTCCGATATTGTACACTAAGAAAGCGGCTGTTAATTAACTGTGTAATAAGTTAGGGGCAAAACGTGCGACGAAATGTGTGAAATTAATAGGGACGACTTGTGTGGGGCGAAACGTGGGACATTTTTTCACTAAATATTACTATTTTCTACTATATATGGAGCATCATATTGATTTTTGTTCAGTGAACTTCATATTATTCTTCTAGCGTCAGTTCTTGTGCATTTGCGAGACGGGATTCATGGGGGAGGTGTGTGAACAGGTAGACCTGTGTGCATCCCAGCAGTGCAGCGGGAGAGGCAACTGTACAAATGTAGACAACACTTTCCAGTGCACATGTGAACAAGGTACCCAAGAAAAAGCAGCAACCTTTACCGAAAGCATCGATTTGGCAAAATTTTCTAACAATCAACTCGACAAAAAATTGATGATTCGAATAATCACCCCTATAATTAACTAATTCACCGGTTATCGAATTCCCGAACATGCGCAAAACGTGTTTTATAGTCATTTAAACAGTCGATAACTTTATAGTGATTTTCAAATTGACTGATTAAACACTTTCATCGGAAATGTTATATTTTGGCAGGTTGGGAGGGATCAGTTTGTGAGAAAGATATTGACGAATGCGACACCTTCTCTCCTTGTGCCCGGCAGAACGCCACACGAGACTGCGAAAACCTCGCAGGCAGTTACAACTGTCACTGCAAGTTCGGCTTCACAGAACCACACTGCGACTCCGTGCTCGACTTCTGCGAAGAAGGACCCTGCAAGAACAATGCTTCTTGCGAATCCACTGACTTTGTCGGGTTCAATTGCACATGCATTCCTGGATTCACAGGTAGATAGAAGGATTTTTTGATCTTTTTTCCACACATAATATACCGACACATACATTTACTTAAGCTTCAACATTTGCATTATTTTAAGAGTTTTAACAAACTAATAAACATTAACCCTCGAAGATATCGCTCGAGGGTTGAGGATGGTAATTTGATACGAAGAAAAAGTTCTTTTGCCATGTGCAGGCGAGACATGTGAGACGAACATTGACGAGTGCGAGGGAAACGACTGTGCGTCGGGATCCACATGTGTAGACGGAATCAACCAGTACACATGTGACTGCATTGGCACAGGGTTCAGGGGTCAGTTCTGCGATGAGTCATGTGTCAATTCAAGTGCGTGCAAGAATTCTGCCAGTTGTCTTTTCAATCAAACTTCCGATGAGTTCTTCTGCGACTGCAGCTCAAATTTTGAAGGTGGGTACAATTTTTTTTCGAAGCTCAGGAAGGACAATATATTACATGTTGTACACAAAAGGGCAACTTTCAATCTAAGCCCTCAAAAAACAGCTAGTAATTATCTTCAAGATAAGCTCTTTCCATGATTTTACAAGAAAAAAATGAAACGGAAACATAGCGCCCAACAAATTACGCTTTATAGCCCAACAAATTTTATGAAGGGTATATTCTCCAAAAAATTGAACAAATTGTTTGAAAATAGTTTTTAAAGAAAAACTGGTGTTTTATATAGTAAAAACTACCTTTTTTGTCTATAAAATAAAACAAAATTTATACTATGTTTTGGAGAGTATACCTTTCTTTAAAATATGTTGGGCTACGTAAGAGGCTCACTTTCATATATTTAGGTCAGTATTTGACGAGGTAGCTTTGGCGTAATTTTCGATTGACTAAAAAAGCCAAAAATGAACGATTTTTAGGGTAAAACTTTGGGCCCGAATTTATCAAAACAAATTGCATCATAATAGTTCTGTTTAAACTCTCGGCAATTTTTGTCTTCATCATTTTGTACCTCAAATCAACCCAATTTGAGAAAAACGCGTTTTAAATTTCTAGTTTAATGCGTTTTGTCCGGATAACGTAAATCAGCACTGTATGTAATTGAGTAACAAACATTTAAGTGAAATAGATTTCAGCTGAAGTCAACACAAAAATTGTTCAATTCTGAGACACCTGAAAATGGTGGTACCTATTCCAGCCAGTAAGGGTGATAAAGTCGACTTTCTTTAAAAGCGTGGTTTTTATTGTTTAGTGACTACCTGAAAACATTTTTGATAGTCTTGTAATATGCTTTTACTTCTAGGTCAATTATGCTCGGAGCAACTTTCGGGTGGAGACAACGATGACGGCAAAATTTCAACGGCAGGAGCTGCACTGCTTGCAATTCTCATTATAGTAGTCGTCGTAATAATAATCATTGTTGTATTCCTGGTTGTGAAACACCTGAATAAGACTCAAGTATCTTCTGGTTCGTTTGATCCAAAATTTGCAGAAGGTGCCGACAACCGAACAGTCCCGAAAGACAGCGAATTCCCCCAATTTACAATTCCGAGAGCCAAGCTGGAAAGACTCATTTGAAGTCATTTTCACTAACATTTTCAAAATAACTCATTTTTGTATTCTGGCTTCATTTAATTTAAATTTTTCAAAAAGCTTGTTATGAAAAATTATTAAGTTTGGCAAATCCTTGCACTTGCATGTAGACACAACATCGCCCAATCCATTGATGTACTAAGCCGATAAAATCTGAATTGCGTTGAAAATAGACCCCGTCTACTTTCATGGCCTAACGCGAAAATACTTTAAGTACAGAGGCGAAGTGGAGTTTTGTAATTCTTGCGATACAGATTCATAAAAATAGTATGAAAGTATAAAGCCAAAAACAGAATTGAGAGCCAAGCGGAGTGCAAAACTATTATATTTAAAAAAATAAAATAACGTGTTTCTCAAAATTGAAACATGTTTTCTAATCAAAATTGAGAATCCAGAAAAATTTTCAGAAAATGAGGTAGAAATTATTCAATATGTTTGAAGCAGTTCTACACGCATTAAAATTCATTTCCAAATCACATTTTGGTTGCAACACTTGCAAGGTTGAAAAAAGTGGTAACAGAAGGAATTTGAGATTCCCGCAAAGTACAGCTTCTGTAATTAGGGCGCTTAAAAGCTTAAATAAAACAAAAATGGATTTTTTTTCTAGATTTTGCCTATTCTTTCACTCTTTTTGAGAGGAATTTTAAAAAGTATGAAAACTTAAGTATAAAGAGTGAGGCTCGATTTTCTGTTAATCTGTCACCCAAATAAAAATCCAAGAAAAGAGACAGCAAAGAACTGACCAATTAAAAATTTTTAGTGACAGGTGCAAAAAATAGATGACACAGAAGAGGCAAAATCATAGTGACGTAGAGCTTCAATCGATTGTTTTATCTTTTAATTTTTCAAATCAATACTTGTAATACGCTCAAAAAAACCTGTCTTAAGTAGGCCGGCATTGCCTGATTTAAAAATAGTTCAGCTGAACAAAAAATACCTTTTTTTTCAAAAAAAAAGTGTTCGAAAAACTAATTTAGCGCCGCTTTCCTATTAGCAAGTTTCTGCAAACAGTTTTTGGTGACTATTGTACTTTACATTTGACAAAAAACGGCAGCCAAACCGACAAAAAATAAACCAAAATCACGAAGACCAAAAAGTGACATTTTTAAATCTCTCAAAACCTGATTTAGCACGCATAAATTAACAAAAATCTATGTCAATAGACCAGCATTATTTGAAATACTCAAAAAGTCAAATGGAAGTAATTAATAGCTTCCTTTGGCAACTAAGCAAAAACAACTAGGCAATAATTTAATTAACAGAAGTATTCCGATAATAATCCTTGAAACAAATGACAACTGTATTAAAATTTGTATAGTGCTAATAGGTATATAGATACTGTAGATCAAACACCACTACATTCACCTAATCTCAACTGTCTCTACCGCTATTTGAAAGTGTCGGAAAACAATCATCACTGAGCAAAGATCATCACTGAACGCGAACCGTGGGAGCGGTAGTGAAGTGGTTATGTATCCGCCTCTCAGTTAAAGGTTGGAGATTCGAGGCCCGACATGATCCTAGATCGTTGAGTGTGAGGCAACATTACACAGCCCAGAAAAATAGCGGAAAAAACTGCGAGTATACCTGAACCAGGGGCAGAAACAACAGCGGTTTTCCGTGAAGACTTGAACAGCTCAATTGTTGGTACTTTCAATTGTGGTTAAATCGTTTTAATCTAAATAATTTTAGTTCCATTTCAAAACCCTATTGAGTAACTAAGCTTTTATCGCCACTTCTTATGCAATTATATTGCTGGAATATGGCCGACTGCGTGCTAAGGCAAGCAAGTTTTCAGGTCGAACATCAGCATGCTAACTTATTGCTTGATCTGATGTGAAAATCATATTCCTGCAAAGACCCCGTCTTTAAAATTTTCGTTTTCATTAAAATTAATAGCCTTAGCCTCATGTTGCTGAGAAATTTCTGCTCTTTGTCAAACTATTTAAGAAACGCAAAAAATTTCCAAGATCATGAGACTAAACCCTCACAAAAAATATCTCTTATTAGCTTTATATTGAGCGTTTATTTACTTTGAGCAGAACAATCAACCGAATTGCATTTCAAATAATAAAAACAATACTTTTTCAGTTTTTCTAATGACTAGCGTTATTTCTTCGCAATTGACGTAATTATTACTTATTTCAGTTTGCTTATTTGGTTTTTTACTGACACATCGGTTCGCTGAACGCTACCCCGATTCAAAGTTCAAAAATAGAGGCAGAAACTAGCCCATTGTTCTATTAGTTTACCATTAGAATGCTACTAACATATTTTAATATCTTTTATTTTTTTCGAAGGTTCTTGAACAAAAATGTTTAAAAGGCTGAACACGTAAAACAGTATTAAAAAAACTCTTATCAGAACTGAATAATAATTTTGGAACCAAGTTTAAAAATTATAAATTTTAGTCATTTGAAGCACTAATTTGTACAAGTATAATTTCTGATTCAGTTTTTAAGAACATATCAAAACTTGCCCACATAAACTTTCTTGAAATATTTAGGAATAGTCCTGGAATTAACAACACCGTTACAGGACATCAATTTGATGGGAATTGATAACAAAACCTCATGTCAAGGTCGGATTATAACATTGAACAACGTTTCTCAAATACTTGACGGTGGCGTCCCTCTTGATAGAGGGAACGAATGTTGAAAAATTATTTTCAGTCATTTTCAGCCAATCAGATTTATGTATTCAAAAATCTCAGAGAAACCTTCAAAATCTCACAGCAAGCAAAAAAATTCCAGGCCATAAAAAATAATACTGACCGATAAAAATGCTGATGTAAATTCTCCGGACAGAACAAATTAAAAACAAAAAACTTAAAACTGACAAATTATGTTGTATAAAGACAAAAAATGATGAAGACAAAACTTGCTGCAATTTATTTCGCAAAAATTCGGGTCCAAAAACTAACCCCAAAAACGATCATTTTCAGTTTTTTTAGTCAAGCAAAATATACGCCAAACAAATTGGTTCAATTATTGTCAAAATTCTATAAAAGTGAGTCTCTAAGTAGCCTAACAAAATTTAAGGACTTAATCTTCAAAACATTGGGATAAGAATTTTGAGCCAGTTTTGCTTGTTGAACTGAAATTTTGTTTTCTTTGATCCACTTACATCAAAATATAGCAATGAAATTAAGCAAACGGAAAATGGGATCCAAGCTATTGTCGAAATTGAATTAAAAAAAATGAAAATAAACTCTCCAAAATATTCAAACAATTAAACAACTACCTCTACAGAAAAACACGAAAAGTTGTAAGCCATTTTCAATTTGGGGTACAAATTTCAAAGCAAACAACCACGCCGTTAAACAGTCATTCAAAATCACTTACAGAGCCGACTTTCAATTACGGTTAAAATTGCCTCAAAAGTAAAAATAAAATGATTAGCTTAAGACAGTAAATTATATGCTTTGGAATGTGAGCCTCCAAAAATATTTAGGCAAACTATAGTTCGACTGTACAAGTTTCCTTTTATCAATTTCTTTACATCCATGAAAAACGAAGCCCGACAGGCTTTTTTCTGAACCCCAAAGCATTTTTCCAAACAGCTCATTTTTTTCTGGCGTTCTTTACCTCTAGAACAAGCGAGAAGGGATCTGAAAGATGTCGAGGCTCCATAACAAGGCTAATTATACATTTACATACATACAGGACAAAAAAGAACAATGTCCGCCGGAACTCGAATCTTAAACCTGCCCTTTGAAAAACCCTTAATTGCGGTAAAAACTGTAGTTCCCGATTTCAAGTAACTTTCTCGTGCAAATGAAAACAAAGCAGAGACAGAACACATACAAGCAAAACACAATTTCATCAACCGTACAATTATTCGAACAAAAAATCAACACACTGAGGCGAAGCTGGACTTCGCAAACACTAGCCAGAGCACGAAAAAAAAACGCTTTTTAAATTGCGAGATATATTGAATTAGAATTATTCTGAGGTCGAGTTTTTATTTTGTTGTTGTTTGAAACTAAGCTTTTTTCGGTTTATTTGATGAATTAAAAATGCATCAACTGTATAACTTATTACTACTCGAATGTGAAAGCAAATGCAATCAAAAAGCATGAAAAGTGCCACTTTTGCAAATATTTGAGATTTAGGTTAGAAAAAAAGAATATTTATACTATTACACTAACGCTCACTTAAGAACGCTAGTGTACAAACACTGACAGTGGGAGCTTTGGCACCCCCCGAAAAACCCGAGTTATTTCCAGTTTTCGAGCCAGAAACAAAATTATCTTTGTTTCTAATATTAACAGGGCTTTCACCAGAATGAAGTTTAGCATAGCATAATTTTTTGTACTGGTACAGATAATGTGTACTTCTACTTAAAACAAGCGACTACGCCTCTGATTGAAACTTTTTAGCTGTTTTAGAAAAAACTTTGGGAATATGAAAAAAAAGTTGCAGAAACACTTTCAATTTGGGGTACAAATATCAAAAAAACTCTGGGGAGAACAAAATTGACCCAAGAAAAGGACAGCATGTTGATTGAAAATAATTCTTCAACTATGATAGTAACTAAGATTTAATTTGGAAGGAAGTTTTTGAACATTGTTTTAAGCCTTGATCTCTTCGGTCAGATCATTTCACAATTTATAGATCTCAATAGCTCGACATAGTTCTATTAATTGGAAATACAGTTTAGAAGAGTCAAATTATTCCTTTCGAGTAAAAGACTCCCTTCTCTTTTCCCTGGTCAACCGAGATTCCCAGTGTTTTGGAAAGCAAATTTTAGGAAGCATGTTTCAGGAAGCAAATTTAACTTTTAGTTTTCATAATTTTCCAGTTAGCTGACTGGAGCAAACAACGTTGAATTTTTCCAGACAGCTGACTCACTTTTCGTCGAAGAGTAGAGCATGAAAATTCATCTCTTCATTCTGGTGTCATTTTGAATGGTTAAACTTTCCTCCGGAAGAGTTGTCACGTAATATTAGTACTTCTGAGAAGGTTGATAGCTTGGTTTTGGTAGTTCGTTTCGTCGTCCCATCTATGTCTCACACTGCGGCCCCAGCCAAGTTGCCCAGGGTTTTTCTGGGCGGAAGGGGGCTCCCCGATTCCAGGAATTAAGATTTGATTCTTGTTGCGGCGCACGTTTCTGTGAATCACCAAGCCGCCAAACAGAGAAATACAGGAGAGCTATGCTGATGGTGTCTTAATTCGTCTATACAGTATATGCAAAACACCAGACATAGGAACTGCTAAGGTTTTATAGCCGAAGCTAAGAGCTAGTGTTGTGTCACGACACTGCTCATCAGGAGCGAGCGAAGTCGTTCTTGTATCCCGGTCGTTAAATTCAGTTTCGTCCGATGGAATATTTTTAACAAGGAAAAAATATTAACTAATTTAGTTAGCAAAACACAATATTATCGAACATGAAGATTGTGGACAAAAATTTTAGCGATAACGATCAATGAAATTCTTAGAAGGGAACATGATCAGACCAGTTTCTCTGAATATCTAGAAAAATTTCCAAAAAATATTTGAACGGAAATTAATTTTAGGCGAAGCTGTGCTTTCCAAACACTTGCGAAAACAAGACAAAAAAGCAGCTCTAGAGTTTTAAAAATTGCAGTGAGGAAAAGTAAAAATAAGCCTCGAATTAGTAAAAAAAATTCTGCCAAGTCTCGGACTCGAACCTTCAACCTAGAAATTATGAGTCTCACGAACTAACAACTCAGCCTCGGACGCTTAGTCCATCAAAAATACTACTCACAAATAAAGCCGAGAACAGATGCTATGAAATTTCCAATGCTACAGGTCGTGATTATAGCAAAACGGCACAGAAGTAAACACTTTTAATGAACACTTTTGTTTGCGAGTTAGGTTAGAAAAAACAGATGGTTCGTACTTAAAAAAACTATCACGAACTATAAAAGAGTCTTCACTACATTCATCAACTCTTTTAAAATGTAATAGATCGGTAATTTCGGCGAAAATCTTTCGTCCTCTGTTGAACTTGTGCATGAAATAAACGAGTAAATTTGATCGCCTATGTTGTATCATGATAATCCAATTGAAAACGATCCCCAATGTTTTTTAAATGAAGTTATTTTTAGCTCATAGAAACAATACGCAAAATAAGGTCCTTTTAGAGCTCCCAAGAGAGCTCGGAAAACAATTTGGTCGACCTAAAAAGCGAATGCTTCTAACTTCTGAGCAAGACCGACGAAAATGAAAAAACTATTTGACTTCTGTTGGAACGGATAATTACAGCATTAAAAAAGCAGAATATATATTACATTTCAATCATAACATTTGAATTTTAGGCCTTACAGACTATACGACTCCAAAACAACAAGCATTTTTTCCATACAATTTTTTGACCAAATTATCAATTAGCCGATACTTGTTAAGTTTAACAGATGGTTTATTATCACGATTAATGTGTTTTTATTACATGTATGCAGTTTAGGAGCTCGATGTAGTCTGAAAAGACCTCTTGAAATCATCATCATAATCACATTTCATTTTCAATCTTAGAATGGCGCACACAAGATCATTATCGCAATTTTTCAACATACATTTAATTATTTCAGTTTTAAGTTCTCGGTACAATTTAGCTTGTGAAGCTTGCTGAGTCGATTCAATGAAATTGCCTTGATAACTTGTTCTTGAAACAATCAACTTTTTTTCTCGAATCAACTTAAAGCAGCTTTATTTTGTCAGGAGAGCACAGATCATTGACGCAACGTAAACAACTATACAATATCGATGGCATATTTAGCAACTGGTTGGAAAAACTGAACTGAACGAAAGATCACAACCAAACTTAGATTATATATATATTTTTAATGAAGCTGGTAAAGCAGGCTCATTTTTTGTTTTAAAGTTTAAGAAGATGATCATTCAGCCAAGCCTACGTATTTGAGGACTAGAGGAAAATGATTAAAGCTTCTTGAGATCTGATCAAGTAGAATTTAGTAGAGTATCAACATGAACTCATGATGGGGCGCAAAAGAATATGCCGAAATTTATGTTTGAGAAAAAAAGGCTTCGAAATGGCAATTTGGCGGGCGACTGTACTTGGATCTTGTTAACTATTTCACCCCTATGTAAGCTAAATTTTGCAAGGGGGGATTCGTAACAAGGTATTAAATTCATATAGGCTTAACTCTTCAAATCTTTAAAATAGGGAAAAATTCGTTACAAGATACCATAGGGCGGGGAGGGGGGGGGGGGGGGTGTAGTTAACAAGATTCCAGTACTTAACTGCGCCGTATTCGTTCAATCTATAATGACATTACATCAATGAACGCACACAGCAGGAAAAGCATGAGCGCAGTAGTAATCATAGGAGCTGCTGTATTTTGAGTTACAATCACAGCAGCAAACTACAATGGTTATTGAATCGGCCTCTCAAATCGGACCAGCTGAATGTTAACTGAATTCCATTCATCGAATATACCGGAAAAGTTTTAAATATAGTTGGTCTTTGATGGGTATGCGTTTCTCGGGCGCAAATAGTGACTACTTCCAATGCGTATTTATTCCGAACATAATGCACAGCCGATCAAGTTCACTTCAGACCACTGCGATTGGACCAGGCGAGAGTGGTCGTACAGAAGCTAAGTATGAGTTTCAAGTTAACACTGGGAGGGAATCACAGTGGAAACACGCCCGCTTAGCACGTTTCAAACAGAACAGAGATCGATGCTACAGAGCAACCAGCACACAACTAATCTAGACTCTACCCCTTCTTTGCCTAAACTCGATTCGCATCTTTCAATCATCCCTTTACAATGTCAATGAAGACGAAATATACTTCGAAAAACTTGAAGAGCTTCAAAATTTTTTGTTACATAAGGACACAGGAGCTCAATCGTTGATAGGTTGAAATCTATGATGCCAGGAAATAGAGCTCAAATCGGTACCCATAGCATAAATTCAGCTATCCTCAGCCTACCACACAGAATATACCGAATCCTAAGAGTGCGATATGTGACCTTATGATTTCAAGCCACTTGTTAAAAGCCTCGACTAGTTTTAGTATGTGTGCTGAGTTGCGTATAAACTATCTACGGATAAGATGTCTTCTAATGTACATGTACGTAGAAAGTCTGACTGACAACTGAGAATGAATAAATTGGTTATTACAGTTTACTTCAGTCCATTAAATATGAAATGTGTCCTCACTCCGACTTCTCGCTCTGTGCCGGAGTGGATGCCTCTAAGCTTCCATTTGACAGTCCTCCTGCACCTGCTACAGCTCCTCCGGATGCCGCACCACCGGTTGTGGTGGCGCCGGCTGCCGCAGCGCCTGCGCCCATAGTGGCGGCTGCAAAGCGCTGGTACCTGAAACGGGACAATTTAATCCACAATTGACAACATACCGGCTTATGCCACCGATTACATTCGACTACAGATTCAACATCAATATTGCTCAAAGGGACTACTCGCATGGCAGAAGGACTCAATTTCCAAACGTTTCAACCAACTAACTTCCTGTAATAACTGGTTTTCGATCTTTTTCCCTTCAAAATCTTTGAACGCTGAATTCTGATTGGCTAGCATAATTTTTGGGTAATATCCTTGTCACGTGGAATTTTCCCACTGTACAGTATTATTCGCGTACTGCTCAGCTTATAGATGTTCACGCAATCCAATGGCAGCAGAACTTATTATGGCAGCTATTCACGTATTTGGAAAACAACCGAGTCTTCTTTATGACTATATCATGGAATCTGTATTTTCTTATATGAAGAATCCAATATCGTCCACTGACCATTAGTTTAGTTCACATATTCAATGTTCAGCCAATTAAAATTGATCTCCCAAAAATCTTCCTTTTGTTGTCTTGAATAAAATTCCTGACATAAAAAAAGTAAGAAAAAGTTAAACAAGCATCGAAATCAAATTTTAAAAGCTGTAACAAAGCCTAAAATTCTTGAGCAATCACGTTGCGCCGAAACAAACTTTTACTGGAAAAACTCAAAAAGTTTCTAAGTCCCCCTGAAATCACTTAGATAAATTTGTTTGCTCATCAAACCTCAAAAAAGGCCTCTAAGCCGATTTATTCTAAGCCGAAACATTTTCAGCCAAATACGGAGGAAAAAAACGAAAACAAAAACTGATATACTGAAATCGGAGTTGGTAAATTTGCAACCAGCACAAAAAATAGAACGGGCACGTGAAATGCAGACATGCTCAAAAATTGTAAGTGCAGACAATTGAAATGCAGACATGCTCCATTTTTCTGTTCGTTGAGGAAAGTAGAGACGACCAAAATTTCAGCCATCCTGTCAACAAAGTTTTTTACGGGGGGGGGGGGGGTAACCGCAGAGGCGAAGCGGAGCTTCGCACCACTTGCGATACAACACTTACATAAATTAAAAACATAAAAAGCCGAAAATGAAAATTTTTGAAAAAACTAGGTCATATAAATTTTCATGTCTCAATAGAAGTTCATTCCAGGCAAACATGCCAGACACTAGAATTTGAAATTAGCAACAACGGGATAAAATTTAAGAAAAGAAACAAAGCCGACAATCTTTGAGCAAACACAAGTTGAGCCGAAAAAAAAAGATGATTTTATAAAAAAAAGTTTGAAGTCCCACCTTGAACAACAATTGCACTTGCCACTACGATGAAAGTTGTTTACAGCACAAGAAAAATCAGTGATGTGGCAACTAAGAAAACAATTTTTGAGCTGAAACCACTTGAACCGAAAAAAAAAGATTTTTATTTGAATCTTTCAAGACCGCCTTAAAACTAGAATGAACAGCTCTTGCACTTGCAAAAACAATGAAAGTTGCTTAGAGCAAAAGAACCAGTGATGTGGCAACTAAGCCGACCATCTTTCAGCAGACACAAACTGAACCGAAAAAAAAATAGAATTCAAGAATTTTTTTTATATCTTTGAATTCCCCCCTTGAAATTAGAATGAACAACATTTGCACTTGCAACTAGAAGGAAAATTGTCTACATCACAAGCAAATTCCGTTGTGTCGATTTAGCCGACAAAATCTGAGCGAAAAAACGAAGAACCAACAATTCATTTTTCTCGGATTTTTTTCAATTTCCTTGATACTGAAAAAAAACCCTGCCACGACTTGAACCCCAGGCCTTAAGATACAAAGGCAACAGCTTTACTTCCAGGCCAAGGTAAGAAGAGAAGTGAAGATAAGAAGAGAAGTGGTCCTGTGGACAAAGTTGTTTACGGGAAAGAAAAAAAATCTAGTACCCGGTTGCAATACCCTTACTTATCGCAAGGCTAATAATCAATTTCATAGAATTTTCTAAAAAAACACCCGGCGAACAAGCCGCCAAAAATTAGAGATAAACTTTTTTCTCTACTGAATTTTTTTTTTCATTTTCATCTACTGAAAAAACCAAGGTCCGACCGGGACTCAAACCCTGGCATTAGGGCACAGAGACAAACGCATTACCTCTGGGCAAAATATGCAACGGTCTCGCTGGGCTAAAGTTCACTAATAAAGTAACTTCAATTTCAGATGTACGAAGTGTTGTTTTCGGGAAAAACGGCCTAGTTCCCAATTTCAAGACACTTGCTTTCGCAAGCTTAATGAGATTTAGGACACGGAGAGACCGAGGGTTACTCTTACTCACCTTTGCGATATGATGTCAAGGGGGAGTGCGGAGGGATATGAGTTGGTGCTTTCCTCTTCGCTCTGCTCCGCCAGTGCAGGTTTCTTCTCCACCATGTAATCCCAGATGAAGTTCCTCTTGCTATGTACGCCCCCGCCAGGCGGCAGACCTAAACGATGCGTCAGTTAAAAGAAAACAAAACCCATCCTCAGCATCTAGTTAAACCGAACAGTTGCTGTGCAATTACTTCTGACAAAGCTTAATTTCTAGTCATTCTGCATCACCTAACTAAGTTTATCCGTTAGAGTCCTTAAGAAAGAAAGAATATTTTTCTACAAAACATTTTTACTTCAACAAATATTACAAAATATTTAATGCCTTAATATAATTGCTTAGTATTTTAGGCAGAACACAAATCATCGAGCGGATAGGCGAAAGACACAAACGACCCACTGAGAGCCTATCCTTACAATCAATGAGAGCCTACTCAATGCTACTCGCTTAGAAAAAATAGTCCAACTTCTTACCGTCGAAAGAGGATAGCACTTCCAGGATCTCGTTTATCGATGTGATCTTTTCTTGGTCCATCAGGTCGTCGATTCTCTTCTTCAGCCTCTTATCTAGGTCTGCTTCAGCGTCAACAGCCTCCTGACTGACTTTAGGCGCTGCAGGAAATGTGACAATAATGATGCTCATATTGTCTCGACTTCCCTTGTGCAGACACGTGTCAATCACTTCGTTGCAGATCTTTTCCAGATCATGTGTGATCCTTAGTCTGCTCGACACAAAGGCACACAAGTCTTCGTTGGTCATTTCGTCCCAGATCCCATCGCAAGCTACAACCAGGAATTCATCTTCCTCTGCGTTTCGCTCTACGGCAGTCACTTCTGGCTCTGGGGAAACCAGCTGCTCAATGGCATCCATCTGAGCATTATCTTTGTACTCGAAGTCTCCAAGAGCACGGGAAACTGCAAGGCTTCCATTCACTCGCATCATTATAACGCTTCCTCCTAAATAATCACATCATTACATTACAGGTTCCGAAAGCGAACACTCACTTCAAATATTTCAACTCTTCTAGCCTGCAGCTTCAATTCGTGTTTTTTCGTCGTCCAAATGTGGCTTGTGATCTCGGGTACTGAACGCCACGGTCCCTTTTCGGACAATGAGAGACCGCGAATCTCCACAATTGGCGAAGAACATTTTGTGGGGAGACAGCAAGCAAGATGAAACTGTTGTTCCGCTGGATTCTTCTCCATTGGTAATGGTAGGTGTTTGTCTTAGCATTGTGTCCAGTTCCAAAAAACCTTTCCTTATGACTTCTTTTATTGTGTTGTCATCGTGTTTATCCATGTCGTAATTTTTGAATGCTTCGTGTTTAGTTATTACATCTAACAAATTCTTTGCGCAGTGATTAGATACAAAAGCTCCCGCATGGCCATCATATACAGCAAAAAACGACCAGTCCTAAAAACAAGTTCCACTTCTAAGACAGCAACTGGAAAATAGTATCAGCATCAAACTAATAACAAAACAATGTAGCCCTAAAGCAGTATTTTTTAAAATAATTTGAAGGTCTTCAATTTGCTGATGGCAATAACCTGAAAGAGCAAATTATCATTGAGAACTCAGAATCTAAAGCTTCAAGAAAGAAGGAAAGCGATATTCAACTACATTAAATTCCTTTTCTACCGAAACAATTTGCAGACTTTTACTGCTTCAATGTTTAACATACCTTCAGGCCAGATGGCAACCCAAGAACACAAGAATGGGCATCTTCCATTTTCGTCCGCCAACCTTGCATCGCAGAAAGTCCAAACTTAAGGTCATTACCTTCGCCATTTGAAGTTTCTTTTTCAATTTTCGGTTTATCAAGAAACACGCCCATATCTGTAACTGAAAATTTTCAAAGTTTTGAGGGACTGCAGTACTAAAACAGGGAACATAATTCTTGAGAAACATCTAAATTAAACTCAACTAGAACGATGAGGGCCGGTTGTTGTGCAAGTATCACAAAATGTTCCAATTACAGAAGTCAAATTTAAAAAACAAACATTTTATTCAGTAAAAAATCAAGATAATCAACAATGATGATAGACTAAAATATAAGATTAAATTCATATTTTTAAAAAGCAGTTAGTGATCATACGATTATATTAAGGCGGTCACGTGGTGAGCCATTCCGCCAGTAGGCACAGTTACACCTTTTTTATTCTTTTTTTTACAAGGTAATCAGAAGGTCAAAAGTATCATAGTAACCGAGGTTACAGTCATGAGTCCCTTCATCATGTATTCCAGTCAAAATCCTTGGAATTTTTTAGATATGGAAGTAAAAATTTGCGACGAGAAACTGCGACGAGGTCACGCGAAACTGCGACGAGAAACGTGATAAGGCTAGAAGCATGAAAAAGCGGAGGTTGAAAATTTTAAATTTTGCTCCCGCATGGCCGTCATATAACAGCAAAAAAGCTCCCGCATGGCCATCATATACAGCAAAAAACGACCAGTCCTAAAAACAAATTCCACTTCTAAGACAGCAATTGGAAAATAGTATTTTGCTCCCACATGGCCGTCATATACAGCAAAAAAGCTTTCGCATGGCCGTCGTATACAGCAAAAAACGACGTAATTGTTGTGATATACTTATTAAATAGTTTCATATGTGTATGGTCGGAGAACGAGTGGTACTGCGGCCCACTCTGGGATTTTAGAAACCACTCGTGAATGAACTGACATCCCCCACTGATCGCACTACGTAGGCGACTTCCTGCTGCTCGAGCCGACGACCCGCTATCGACCATCAGTGACACGGGACGCCGCCGAGGACGCATAATCAGAGCCACGCCACGTCCGTCCAAGCGCCCACTCCCCCAGTCCTGTGACATCCAGCAGACGAGCAATGTCAACCCGATCATCCAGGGGCACGCCCATTCCAGAAGACGCCTGTACCAAAACTGACACGAAGGGCAAGCAAGTTGTGAAATGGCAAGACGGGACCACATCATGGGTCAACGTCAAGCACGTTTCTATCACTGACTGGACTGCCATATGGCGCACTAGAACTGGCTTAAGCAAGAAGTGGCATGGCACTCTGCAACCTGGCACTACAAAGACGACGTAAGTTCTGGTCTCGCGCAAAAGATAGATGATCTATCATTAAATGATGCAGGAGACCAGAGGTCCAAGGACGCTGCCGATAAAGATTCGGTAGAGACCTGAGCAACCCAAAACCTGAGCAACCCAAGACAAAACTAAATTCATTTCAAACAATAGCTTTATTTTCAACCTTTATCTTAACGGGTCAGAAATATGCTCTGTTGATCATATCAAAGACTTGGGTATTTATATCTCGCCTACTTTATCTTGGAATCACCATGTTTCTGCGAAACTTGGTAAAACCACAAAGTGTTTTCATTATTTAAAGCGTAATGTTCCTTTCAACTCACCTGTTAAAACTAAGCTTCAAATGTACATTTCTTGTGTGAGGTCCATTTTACTTTATAACTCTTGTATTTGGTACCCAAATTTATCAAAGCTACGTGATTTGGAAAAAAATCCAGAAAGAGGCAGTAAAGTCGATAATTGGTTCCACTAATTATACTGACAGTCTTGTGATGTTAAACATACAGCCTATTTGCTATCAAATTATTTTTATTGATTGTCTTCTCTTCTTCAAACTGTTACATAACTGTTATGACTTCGATATTTGTGACATTCGACCAGAATGTGAAAAATGCAATCTCTGCAGAATTCGGAATTTTAGCAGTAAGCCTTCCGGATTGGTGGTTTTTAAGAACTAAGGGCGTTATTGGAACGTTTAGCCAAACGGTGAAGGCTGGAATATTCTAGTATTTTAAAGTTTCAAAAATTCGAATGATGACGTCACATTTCTGAGAAATGCTGAAACGGCCATTTTTAACAAAACGAGTGAAAAAACACAACAACAACGTTAGTTGCGCTGACGAGAACAACTTTATCGAAATTGAAGAAGTCGAAATTGAAGAAAAACAGCAGCAGAGTGCAGAGAACGTTCCGAGTTGCAAGTATTGTGCTGCTACAATAGTTGCAAGGCCGTTGCGAACAACGGTGAAGGGTAAGAAACCAGCCCTCCGTGTTATCGTGAATTCGAACTTAAGGAGCTTGATTCACTGGATTCAAGAATCCGGAAGGGTCTCGGGACGGATAACTTTTATTGACTCATATGAACTTTTAGCATCCTGTCATGTCCTGACTTGAATTTAATTGATATTTGGATCAGTTTTGACAAGGATGAGGTGCTAAGAGTTGGGGGGAAAGGGTTGATCCATCTTCGATGGAGATGATGATTTTTATCTACTGAACAAAAACAATAGTAATATAAGAAATAGTAGCCCTGTTTTTAGTAGTGACCTCGTGGTCTGGGGATACTGAGACCCAGCCATGAGCTCACTATTTTTGCATGTAATTCAGTTAATTTGAGCGTTCTGGTCGAAGCCGGAGAACAGTAACGTTTTTGTCGACCCGATGTTAGAAAAGACCACCGAAAAGTACTGGCTTGGTAGAGACGGTGAAAAACATGCAAAGCTCTGTTTAGACGCTAGCCAGTCGTCTTAAGACTTAGTTTTGTTATCCGTCGATATGTATCTTCCGGGCGTATGTTACATGTATGTTTTTATGGCGCTCCTGGGTGTTATTCTTTCATAACATCATGACCGGCGGAACCGTTAACGAGCACTCCGCGCCGAGCGGATGCTCACATTAACGCCCTTAATAGGCCTAAACTGCCGGGGCGGAAGGGTAGTTCGGAACGCGGAAGCCTTCCGGATTACCGTGAATAGTTTTTTAACCTAGTTAAGACCGAAAATTCACGAACCAGGAAGGGTGGGGGGAATCATGAACCCCTCATCCCCTGAGTGGTTTGTGACCAAAAACACTTAAAGATATAAGTAAAACCAAACAAAAAATAGTATAGTACCCAAGAAAAACAAAAAACATAAAAAATAATCGAAAAAACCAAAAACAGTAAAAAAGTAAAAAATCAGTAGAAATCATCCCCCCAGACAAGATGTGATTCAACCCCCCCGTTTGTTGTTGATAGATATATTGTTGTTACAGGCATTTATATCAGTCAGGATCGTTACGATCAATTTTGTGGCCCGTTTGTGAGGCTTGTACTGAAGGGTTATTTGAGCATTTAAGCACGTTAATGATAAATTGCGCTCAATCCGGAAGGGTCAGCTGATTTGCGCTCAATTCGGAAGGGTCCTGGGTGAAGACCGATCCGGCAAGCAGTACAAGGAGCAACAAGAAGGGGCTCAACGACAACAACAATCGACTGTTGGGTATCGTTAACAAGTTTTGTATCCCTTTTGGTACAAAAAGTAAGATAGTAATCTGTGGGGGGCTCGACAGTGCTGCACTGTAGTGACCCTTCACCGAACTGCGAATATCCGAGTTAAGCACCTTAATTCGGATAATAAACAAACCCGGAGGGGTATAGTATTACTAATATTATTACTTATATAGCCTATATTAATAGTCTTATATCGTTTTTCAGTGAAAAACAACGAAAACAGACCGGTTTTTAGGGTCAAAATAGCGATATTTTGATCCCCCCACAAGTCGCGATTTTTGAGATATCGATATTTTTTGAAACGGAAAAAAGCGCTAAGTTAGTGTGTTACATCGTAACTGCACTACTGTAATAAGTAGAACCGGTTAACTTTAGTTCGGAAGTGGTTGGAACTAGTTTGGTACCAAAAACCAAATTTTCCCAATTTTTGATAGTAAGAAACACTATAAAATCAGAAAATTTTTTGAAATCTTTGAGTTAGGACAGTAAAAATAGTTGTTCGGACAACGTCCACTAGTGAATCTACGAGTTTTAAAACCCGCTACCCGATAGCCTCCCCGGGTTGCAGAGAAATCGAACATAACGTGTTTGATTTGGTGGATTCATCAATCCGGAGGGGTCCAGGTAGCATAGTTTTTCGCAAATTTTTTCTACAAAAGCGTTTTAGATCGGGTATTTTGCATTGAACTAGAAGAGTATAGGCCTTCTGAGCTCAGATCAATAATTTTTAGGTCGAAAGGACCAGATTTGCGGAAAAAGTTAGGCGGAACCTATAAGAGAGAAAATTTTTGAGTTTAAAAAAAAGACGTTTTGGTTAATAACTTTGGAACTACAGAGCATATCGAGTCAATCTTGGTACCATTAGATCAGAAATTAGCTGAACTTACTAGTAGGAAAGAGAATTACTCGAAAAATTTTTTCAGATTGTTTTAGCAAATTACACAAATCCGGAGGGGTACACCCTTCACGTTTTATAAATTTTTCTGAAAAACCCTTATACCCCTACCAAAAGTTGATAGCGATTGAACTAAGTAACTTAGGACAGTTCTAGACAAAAAGGGAGGGCTGAAGGCACAAGTCAACCATAATAGAGTCGAAATTAGGCAAGTGATAAGACCCTTCACCGTTAGTGTGAATTGTCAAATAAGTGCCTTAACTTCAATCCGGAGGGGTCTAGGAAAGGACCCTATACCCTTCCCAGTTAATTCAAACAGCATAAAAGCAACGCAGAACGTATCCGGAGGGGTATAAGCTGAAATTAAGAAAACTACGAAAAGCTACTTTGACAGAGCTAAGGGCTCCCAATCGGGAGGGGTCGAAATTTTTCAAAGTCAGAGGGGTCCGAATCCGGAGGGGTCTACTTTCCACAAAACCGGAGGGGTCCGAATCCGGAGGGGTCTTATAGTTGCTAATTCGGAGGGGTCCAAATCCGGAGGGGTCTACTATTAACTAACTCGGAGGGGTCCCAATCCGGAGGGGTCTATATTCTGACAGTCCGGAAGGGTCCTATTTGTGCCAATCCGGAGGGGTATTATTTTATTAAGGACTTAGGTAAACGAAAGAAAGACTAAAAAGCGAGAGGTATTAAGTTATTAATACACAGGCTAGGTATCAGTGACTGCACTGGTAACTTGCCTTTCAAAAAGAACCAGACTAATACAAAACAGGTCCGAACTCGGATATTCGCGACACTAAGTCTAAATTAAAAAGAGCGTGACTCATTCGTGTGGATTGAAACATAATACGTTTTTGGGAAAAGTGACTGCCCTGAGAATTTTAGTAGGTCTAGCTCGGGCAGTCCGAAGGCAGATAGGTAACACAATACTCGGTGGGTGCAATAGACGCCCACTTGAGCAAATAACTGCCTTCAAAGTTTTGTCTGTTTGGTGCAGCACCAAGCAGGGAAAGCTTTTTCTTTAAAAGACAGGTTCGACTATTGTACTGCGACCGACTAAGAGTACAAGACACATACGTTTTTTTATATATACATTCATATTGTGTCAATATATATTTTTTGTTTTTGATTTTAAATCATCCTAAACTGTGCATGATTGGGTAGTGAGCACACTATCTTTTAAAATTGACTGATAACATCATATTGTGCTAGTTTCCAGATCTTTGGACCGATAATCGGTCAGTGTGAATAAATTTTATACAAACTGTACTCTGACAACATACAGGGATTCGTGGTCACTATTTAATAGAATCTGGTGAAATTTATTGTGTTGTGTCATTATTATTGTTAATAAAACTATAAGGTCTCTAGCAATTGAGTCAAGAGTAGGCATAGGAAAGTGACAAATAAAGAATGAGTTTAGACAA